TAACTGCTTCTTGCTGTGCTAAATCCATGGCATCTTAAGGTAATTTTGTTTGCCCTTTCAGTACTTCAAAACCTAGTTAGTATTTTTTTTCTATTTTTTTAAGTTTATTTATTTAGTTTGAGAGAGCGTGTGAGCAGTGGGGGGGCAGAGAAAGAGAGAGAGAGAATCCCAAGTAGAGAATGATTGTGCAGAGCCCCACGTGGGGCTCCAACTCACAAACCATGAGATCATGACCTGAGCCAAAATCAAGAGTTGGATGCTTAACTGACTGAGCCACTCTGGTGCCCCAGTATTTCTTTTTCTTAAGTTCTCTTTGTTAAAATAACTTGTGTGTGTGGTCTTATTGGACTCAGGCTGACCCAGTTTCCCTCATGTCCATGATTTCAATGCCCTTATATCATGCTTGTCTTGCTATAGACCCTGGTTACCCTGGATTCATGTTGACCTTAAAATACCACGTTTGGCCTTACAGTCAATATTAATCTGAAAACGATTGTGATGGTTAATTTTATGTGTCACCTTGACTGGGCCATGGGGTGCCTAGATATTTGGTCAAACATTATTCTGGGTATTTCTGCAATTAACATGTAAACCCATGGACTTTGAGTAGAGTGAATTGCCCTAATGACCACATTAGTGTCTGTGTTCATCCAATCAGTTGAAGGTCTGACCAAAAAAACCAGCTTCCTTGAGCAAGAGAGAATTCTCCAGAAGATGGCCTTTGGGTTTCATCTGCAGCATTGGTTTTTTCTGGTTCTACAGCAGATGGCCTTTGAACTGTAAGTGTAACACCTGTTCTCTTGACTCTCTAGCCTGCCAGACCACCCTGAAGACTCTGTACTTTGCACTCTCCATAACTGCATGAGCCAATTCCTTCTAATAAATTTCGATATGTATGTCTTATTGGTTCTGTTTCTCTGGAGAACCCTAACCAATGCAATACCTCCTACATATTTCTTGAAAAAATATTGATCTGACTTCGCCTCTCATATACTCTGCTACATTGGCTGGTTTGCTGGAAGCTGTCACTTCTCTGGCCAACCTTGACAACTATTTCTGGGCAAGGTATTCCTAGGATACCTATTTTGTTTTTTTTTTTTAATTTTTTTTTCAACGTTTATTTATTTTTGGGACAGAGAGAGACAGAGCATGAACGGGCGAGGGGCAGAGAGAGAGGGAGACACAGAATCGGAAACAGGCTCCAGGCTCTGAGCCATCAGCCCAGAGCCCGACGCGGGGCTCGAACTCACGGACCGCGAGATCGTGACCTGGCTGAAGTCGGACGCTTAACCGACTGCGCCACCCAGGCTCCCCCATAGGATACCTATTTTGTTGAAAAAAAGCAGTACATTTTCTATGTGTGATTTTATTTTTTACTTCAAGGTTTCTTTTCTTTTTGTCATTTTTTGACAGGATCACCCTGGCATTTAGAGAAGGACCTCACAGCACTATATTAGTCAGGTAGTGCTGCCGAAATGCTACATATCAAATTCTTAGTGGCTTACAACAAACGTGTTAGACATTCAGAGGTCTACAGGGTAGCTGGGGTAGTTATGTTTCAGGCTTCCTGTGTTTTCATTCTGGGACCAGTGGCTACCCAGGGTGTGTTGTTTTCTGGGGCAGAGCACAGGAGTACAAAAGGGAAATCCAAATGTGCGAGCGTATTTAAAGCTTCTGGTTGTATCCCATCTGCTCTTATTATATTGGACACAGGATATCACATGGCCAAGTCGTAAGTCAAATGGTAGAAAAGAGCACGCTGTCTGCTGTGAACCTACAACAAAGATGGGAAAGAATAATTCTACAGTGTATCTATAACACATATAAAGGGAGTCTTGAAAATCAATAAGAAGAAAAGACGAAAACCCCCATAGAAAAAAAATGCAGGGAATTTACAAAAGAATAAATAAAAACAGTGAAAAAAATAGGATGCTCACCTATGTTCAACCTTATCTGTGACCAAAGACATGCAAATTTAAAACACTGTGACGGGGGTGCCTGGGTGGGTCAGTCGGTTGAGCGCTTGCCTGACTCTTGATTTTGGCTCAGGTCATGATCCCAGAGTCGTGGGACTGAGCCCTGAATAGGACTCTGTACTAGCGTGGAGCCTGCTTAAGATTTTCTCTGCAGCTCGTGCGTGCGTGTTCTCTCTCTCCCTCTCTCTCTCAAAACAAAACAAACAAACAAGCAAACAAACAAAAGCACTGTGAAATATTTTGTATCCATGAGATAGGAAAAGAATAAAATAATAGCATTAGTTCAAATTAGCCACAGAATAAATTTGTGAAAACTTTCTGTATGTCAGTCTGGCAATGGGTATTATTTAAAATTTACATAACCAATTACTCAGGAATTCTTTTTCAGGAATTTATACCCCACAAAAAAATAAAGGTTGTGCCAAAATCTACATACAAAATATTTACTGTGGGTAAAAAAGAATGACAGATGAATCGAAGAAAGCTCTCTGTTCTCTCGTTTTGCCTGAATATTTATTGCATACATAACAGAGCTAAATTAATCACTTCATCTGTGGCATGTAATCACAAATTTTGCACAGTGACATTGTAGATTGTATTTTGCTGATAAAGTAACAAATTTACCACCACCAGCATAATGAATTTCTTTTTCGCACTAAAAAAATGTACTTTTACTGTGAAATGTTAAAAAATATCTCTACAGGAAGGAGAAAATGAGATAGAAAAAGAAAGATAGCGCAGAAAAAATTTGAAAAGAATGGTTATCACGCAATGCATTGTAACATGCTTTCTGGGTTTCACTGTTGGCCTTTTAAAAGGTTGAATTTTACAGCATCTTACATACAGACTGTGTACCTTAACACCTAACACACTTTGTCAGGAATCTGTTGAGCGGATACTATGAAGCTGGAAAGGAAGCAAAAGATGTGCAGCATAATTGACGTAGAGTATTTTTAAGCAGTTTCTAGTAAAGAGTGGCCTGGGGTGGTCAGCCCAGGCTGATAATTTTGAGGGTCTTCCCAATTGGGAAAGCACATGGTGACATGGTGAAGGAACAGCTTCTCAGTTGCTGCTAATAGGCTGTAAGACTAGAACACATTCAGGGACTTGACCTCCCTCCTTAACATCACCGGGTGACACTGCCCCTCCTCTGTTTGCATGTTATCTTCACAAAGCATTTTGTTATGAAGATTTTTCCCCCTCTTTACTAGTATGCTTGCTATACTTTTCATTTTATTTAACCAGCTAAAACCTGCTGGGTGTGGGAGGTGGACAAAAGCAAAATGTAAGATCTTTCCCTTCTAGATCTTTCCACAAATCCATCCATGTTCTCACCTTTCTTACCCAATTCTCTACCCCTCACCTCAGCTCAACTCTCCCGAGGGATGGCTCTGCCCAACTGCTCATATGGAGAAAACAGGAACCTCTCAAATCAATAGGTGAACATACAAATTGCTATTTGGACTACCTGACGAAGAATAATAAAAGTTGGTAAAAGATTCTTAAAATATCTTAAGATAATATGTAAATGGGTAGACATCACATTAAATACTTTGGTCCCAACTATTAGCCAGAGCACAACTTTGATCAGGGGACAATAAGTCCAGAACACTTTAGGCACAGAGACAAATAGTCTCAGAGGAAATGACAGAAAAAAGAAGCACTTGATAAGATTGACTCACATAGTTCAGTTTGATTTGTATTTCTAAATTTAATTTCGTGTATTTTCAGCTTTAGGAAAAACTAATATTTGAAAGTATTTATACTAAACCTTTAGAGCTCAAGTTGATTCTTGAGGTGCCTTGGGGTGCCTGGGTGGCTCAGGTGCCTTGGGGTGCCTTGGGGTGCCTTGGGGTGCCTGGGTGGCTTGATTTTGGCTCAGGTCATGATCTCACAGTTTGTGAGATTGAGCCCCGTGTCAGGCTTAGAGTTGACACCTCAGAGCCTGCTTGGGATTCTCTCTTTCCTTCTCTCTCTGCCCTTCCCCCACCTCAGGCATGTATGTTCACTCTCTCTCGCTCTCTCTCTCTCGCTTTTTCAAAATAAATAAGTAAACATTCAAGTTGATTAACTTAGTTAAATAATGAAGTAATGGGAAGTTCTAAGCTTGTAGGGAATGTTCCACAACACTTTTTTCCTTATCCTGAAGAATCTTCTCTCTGCACCCAGTGGTTATAAACCAAAACTCTGTGAAGCATTTTGGTGGCATTGTAAAAGTATAGGCTTTTAATCAACAGAGCTGAGTTTGAGTGCTAGCTACATCCTAATAGCTGTATGACCTTGGGCAAACTTACACTACAAGCCATAATTTTCTCATTTGTACAATGGGTCTAAATTATATCTGCATTACAAATTTGCCATGTGCATTAAACAGCTCCACAACTATCATTATTATGAAATAAGCACACTAAATATTTGAACTGACTACAATTTTCTCACTTTATTTAAATTTTAATGAAAATTGTTTTCCAAAACTACATGTCTGTAAGAAAATTATTCAGCGAACAGAATACTCAGTTTCATATCCCATATCCTACATGGTCTCTGTTTTCCCAAGATTCTCCCCACTCCTTTTCTTTTTAAGACTGAGGGGTGGTAGGTGGGCAGGAGTCTGGGGGTTGAGAAAGGGTAGGGCCACCAGGTCTCTACTGACTTTTAACCAATCCCCTTGTTTTCAGTCCTGAATCACAAGTCCACTTCTATGGGTCTTGGAGTCCTGGTGTCTCCTGGGTTCCTCACAGTTACTGAGATGGCGTCTCCTTAGTATACGCACTCCTCCTCACTTTTAGGGAACCTTGGGTGATAACTGATTCCATGGGTTTGATGAGGTGTCACTCCTCCATTTGCTCACTGTCTGCCAAAACGTTTTTTGAAATGTTTCTTATACTCTGCTTCTCCCCTTTCTCTTTGTCCTTGCTGACTATACCTTTTACATACTTCTACTGTCCCTTCAGTGGGGCTTGGGCTACTAACATGTGCTGTGAATATGTCATGCTTACCCAGCTCTTTGGAAAGAAAAGTTGGGTGCTCCCTTCGGCAGCACATATAGTAAAATTGGAACGATACAGAGATTAGCATGGCCCCTGTGCAAGGATGACACGCAAGTGGAAAGAACAAGTTGGGAAATGTTAACTATAGGATTTAAACTAGATATGAATAATAAACAAACAGAAAGCAATTTTTAGAACTTGAAGTAAAGGACATATAAGAATTGCAATTTTTCTGGAGAAATAGCCACATGTTTAACTTGAGCATTTTCATCATATAACTCCTAAGAGAAGGCAGGAAGGAGCTTGAACATGCATTTTTTAAAGCACATTTTTCAGGAATTTTGCTATCCTTACTCTTTGAATTTGTAAACAGGGCTTAATAAACAGAATCCAGAGAATAAGAACTAAAAACTAAACACTGGCTTCAAGTTCAAACTTCACTTTTTGGAATTCAAAGGCTGTTAGAAGAGGTGTTTGACTTTGATAAAAGATGCTTTTGATTTTCCAAAAAGAATGTAATGCTTTGCATTTGCTGAAACGGAAAAAATGAACCACGAACAGTGACTTCATCTGGGCGGTTGACATGTGTCAGAAGACTGCTTGACTCAAGCTGTGTAACTGAAGAGGCTTTGCTGAAGTCCAGAGCGTGTTTCTCTCTCATCAGCTGTTTTCAAACAGGAAAAAAGTAGAGATACGAAATTGTTGTAGGACTACCACCACATCCAAAGAAACAGAATGAAAAACAAAGATTTGATTTGGAACATTTACAAAAACATAGTAACATTTTAACACAAAGTTTAAGTCAATATAACATAAGGTTTCATATGCATTTCTATTTATTTGCAGAAAAGAAAGCCTGTCTTTCCAAATTAGATCTTACAAAATATCTGCAATGAGTAAGCAAGCCTCCGTGAAGCTAAGATCTGCTCCTCAGTCCGGTTTATTTCAGAAATTTAATTAGGTCGCTCAATATTTCATGAATCACTAAAACCCCCAAAATATAAATTCATTAGAATATACATTTTGCCAAACAAGAAATACAAGAATACATCTGCCAAACATTAGTGAATCTGCTTTCAAGTGTTGCACCAAATTTAGAGAACATTTTAACAAAAAAACCTAATAAATAAAGGGATAGATCTGCATAGAAAAGGGAATACTTGCATCTGCCTATCAAAGAATCTTTTAACTTAGATAGTGATGGAAACCTGAAAATTGTCTCATTTGGTTTTTTTCTTTGCAAGTATTCTTACTAGATACCAAAAAGCACACATCATAAGAACAAATCTTCATAGGAGACATCTTACAGTGCTGGTGACCAGTGTGCATTACATGTTGGTTGCATGAATCTTAATTGAGTGCTATTCTCATGGTAATTACTCATTTATGTGTATATTTTTAATTTCTTAATTTAATTGAATTATTTAATTGTGGCAGGTTGCTCCCTTTGAAAGAACAAAGCACTTTGAGAAGAAACCAAATGGATTTTGAGGAAGAGAAGGAATAGCCAAATGGGCAAAATGCCTAGCAAGCAATTGTACAAAGATCCTGTGATCACAGCACTGTTGTGTCTAATATTTGTTACATAAGCCACAGGGACTGTGTTAATATTTAGAAAGCAATTCTTTGCAGAATTACATTTACACATCTTCTTTCAGTTGGTGCCCATAGACGACAAGTTAACCATTTCTATAAATGGCTCCAAAACCCAGACTGATGCTGATAATTCTGGACCTTTTCCCTAGACTATGGTGGTTCATCCTAATTGAGGCCCATAGCTTCCCGTGAGCTATTAAAACTGCTATATCAAAAAATGTACATACTACAAACAAATGTATGTACTAGAAAACATACCATTTCCATCCTTCATGGATTAGGTCCCAGCATTTTGGAAACAGCTGATATTTTCTCTCCATATGGCTAAGGCTCATGAAGAACCAAAGTACTTATATAGCAAAACTGCATATTGGAGGCCAAAAAAGTTTTTTCTAGCATCACTTTGCTTATTGTTTTCTGGACCTTCTTGTTACTTTGCAATAGATGAAAACGGCTTTTCCTTTCCTTATAAAAACTTTAAAAAATATTCTTGTATAAGAGTGTGCTTTAGGGGCGCCTGGGTGGCGCAGTCGGTTAAGCGTCCGACTTCAGCCAGGTCACGATCTCGCGGTCCGTGAGTTCGAGCCCCGCATCAGGCTCTGGGCTGATGGCTCAGAGCCTGGAGCCTGTTTCCGATACTGTGTCTCCCTCTCTCTCTGCTCCTCCCCCGTTCATGCTCTGTCTCTCTCTGTCCCAAAAATAAATAAACGTTGAAAAATAATTAAAAAAAAAAGAGTGTGCTTTAAGATTTGAAGCTTCATCTAATTTCTGTGGCCATCACATAGAATTTTCCTTCCATTAGAGCACTTTTTCCCTTATAGACACAAGGCAGCAGATGTTAGTGGTATCAGCAGAACCAAGATTTCCTGATTTCCTTTCTTCTAAGCAATTTCCTCTCTGCATTACAGCCTAGTCTGAAAGAATTCTGCCAGACATCTTCAATGTTTTATATAAAGGCATGCAAAATCAACTTTTAGAATGAAATGATGAAAAAACCTGCTTGGGAGAAAGAATTTAGATCAAAAATTTACTTGATGTGTATAGTCAGGCTAAAGGAAGTTGAAGAATCCTAAGAAATGGTGTCAACAAAGGATAGAAGCCTGATAGACTGAGAAACATAGGTATGTAAATATGTATCACTTTAGTGATATATTTATGAGACAATTGAATGCAGTGATTAATAGCAAAAACTCTGAAGGTACACAGGCTGACTCAAATACTGGATTTCTGTTTGTTGACCTCAAGACCTTGGCAAATTAAAACACTGAGTACCAGGTACATGGTAGGCATAGGTATCAGTGTTTGCTATTATTAGTCTTTTGTATAGTCTGGGAAGTTTTCTGACACATTCTTATTCTCCAAAATCTCCTTTTACTAAGAGTGCACTTGTGATGAACATTGGGTGTTGTATGGAAGTGTTGAATCGTTATATTACACCTGATTCTAATATTCTACTATTCTTTTAAAAAAAATTTTTTTTTAAACGTTTATTATTTTTGGGACAGAGAGAGACAGAGCATGAACGGGGGAGGGGCAGAGAGAGAGGGAGACACAGAATCAGAAACAGGCTCCAGGCTCCGAGCCATCAGCCCAGAGCCTGACGCTGGGCTCGAACTCACGGAGCGCGAGATCGTGACCTGGCTGAAGTCGGACGCTTAACCAACTGCGCCACCCAGGTGCCCCTAATATTCTACTATTCTAATATGTATACCTGAAACTAATATTACACTATATGTTGAAAACTATAGAAAGCTATGAAAGAGATTGAAGAAGACACAAAAAAAAAATGGAAAAATATTCCATGCTTCTGGATCAGAAGAACAAATATTGTTAAAATGTCAATATTATCCAAAGCAATCTACATATTCAATGCAATCCCTATCAAAATAACACCAACATTCTTCACTAGAACAAATAATCCTAAAATCTGTATGGAACCAGAAAAGAGCCCAAATAGCCAAAGCAATCTTGAAAAAGAAAACCGAAGTAGGAGGCATCACAATCCCAGACTTCAAGACATATTACAAAGCTGTAATCATCAAGACAGTATGGTACTGGCACAAGAACAGACACTCAGATCAATGGAACAGAATAGAGAACCCACAAATGGACCCACAAACACATGGTCAACTAATCTTTGACAATGCAGGAAACAATATCCAGTGTAATAAAGACAGTCTCTTCAGCAAATGGTGTTGGGAAAACTGGACAGTGACATGCAGAAGAATGAAACTGGACCACTTTCTTACCCCAACACAAAAATAAATTCAAAATGGATGAAAGACCTAAATGTAAGACAGGAAGCCATCAAAATCCTCAAGGAGAAAGCAGGCAAAAACCTCTTTGATCTTGGCCACAGCAACTTCTTACTCAACACTTTTCCAGAGGCAAGGGAAACAAAAGCAAAAATGAACTACTGGGACCTCATCAAAATAAAAACTTCTGCACAGCGAAGGAAACAATCAGCAAAACTAAAAGGCAACCGACAGAATGAGAGAAGATATTTGCAAATGACATATCAGACAAAGGGTTAGTATCCAAAATCTATAAAGAACTTATCAAACTCAACATCCAAAAAACAAATAACCCAGTGAAAAAATGGGCAAAAGACATGAATAGACACTTCTCCAAGGAAGATATCCAGATGGCCAACAGACACATGAAAAAATGCTCAACATTGCTCATCATCAGGGAAATACAAATCAAAACCACAATGAGATACCACCTCATACCTATCAGAATGGCTCACATTAACAACTCAGGCAACAACAGATGTTGGCGAGGATGCAGAGAGAGAGGATCTCTTTTGCGTTGCCTGTGGGAATGCAAACTGGTGGAACCACTCTGGAAAACAGTATCGAGGTTCCTCAAAAAATTAAAAATAGAACTACCCTATGACCCAGCAATTGCACTACTAGGTATTTATCCAAGGGATACAGGTATACTGTTTCAAAGGAGCACACACACCCCAATGTTTATAGCAACACTATCAACAATAGACAAAGTATGGAAAGAGCCCAAATGTCCATTGATGGGTGGATGGATAAAGAAGATGTGGTATATATATAAAATGGAGTATTACTCGGCGATCAAACAGAATGAAATCTTGCTATTTGCAACTACGTGGATGGAATTAGAGGGTGTTATGTTAAGCAAAATTAGTCAGAGAAAGAAAAATATCATATAACTTCACTCATATGAGGACTTTAAAACACAGAACAGACGAACACAAGGTAAGGGAAGCAAAAATAATATAAAAACAGGGAGGGGGACAAAACATAAGAGACTCTTAAATATGGAGAACAAACAGAGGGTTACTGGAGGTGTTGTGGGAGGAGGGATAGGCTAAATGGATAAGGGGCATTAAGGAATCTACCCCTGAAATCATTGTTGCACTATATACTAACTAAATTGGGTATAAATTTTAAAAAAATCAAATTTAATTTAAAAAATTACACTGTATGTTAACTGGAATTTAAATTGAAACTTAAAAAAAACCTGCAATCTCCTTTTTCTAGATTTCATGAGGAAAACACACCTCTCTAGATTAATATATTTTTCAAAATATGTAAAAAATCCAAATATACAAATTATTCTAATAAATACATTTTGCTTGCCTGCTTCTTGATAAATTCTAGGAAAGTGTTTTAATCTTACCAAGAAATTCTCTCTAAATTACTCTCTGCATTACTTTAGAACCTGTAAATAGTAAATCCATCCTGTGACCTGGGATTATCAGAGAAAGTGACCTTATTCTGACCTTAGTACCTTTTTTGTTGCTAATTTTGGGAACAAAGATGGTTTGTGCCCCTGTAACTTTCAGTCCATGAACTCTGTGTCCCTTTGGACTTAGGTTTCATGTAAGAAAAAAAAAGTGTTTAGGAGGTAAATTATGTTATTGAATAATAGAGCAGAAATGATTTCAGAAGTCACCAGACCAATTCTTTTTTTTTTCTTTTTTAAAAAATTTATTTATTTATTCTGAGAGAGAGAGAGAGAGAGAAAATCACAAGCAGGCTCCGTACTGTCATTGCAGAGCCCGACGCAAGTGAATCATGAGATCACGACCTGAGCCCAAATTGAGTCGGACACTAAACCAGCTGACCCACCCAGGCGCCCCTAATTCTTTTATCTTCTGAGAACAGGAATTCTAAGACGAGACAAGATGCTTTTGGGGAACAGGACAAGGTTAAGGCAGAGGTGGATTTAATGAATGCCTTTCCCTTACAGGGTATGTTGTAATGATACATAGGGACAGTAATTCATTCTGGAAAAATCTTAAAAAGGAAGGTAGTTTCCTCTATTGTAATGCTTATTTTCCCCATTCGTGGCAGAAGACTAAACATGAAAACTCAAGAATAAGATGAAAATATTTGAGGAATTTTATATCTAGAAATGCTTTCGTGACATGCCCCAAGCAGTTATAACCATACTCAAGGATAAGCATGACATTTGTGATGTTATTTTAGGGGCATTAAATGACATAATACATGTTAAAGCACTTTGTTCAAAGTCTTGCTCACAGGAAGGAATTAACAAATATTAGCTATTGTATGACTATTATTTGCTTACCTCTGGGAATCCTCTTTCAGCCAAAAGGCTGGGCAGAAAAATATTTACTCACCATCTTGGAGATAATTATTGTATTATTCTGCATAGTATCTGAAAAGGCAGGCAAGAAGCATAGTGTTATCCCTGTTGAATTCTGGGAAAACATAGACACTAAAGATTTACAAGCACATTTCAATTACCCAAAAGGTTAGAAGCAGAAAGAGAAACACATTCTTCATTTCCCTATTTCTCCATCCCAGGTTTAAATGCTTTAGTTTCTGATGTTTTTAGTTACTTAAATAACTGACTGTGAAGAAGAAATCTGGAAGCTGGGTAAAGGAAGCTCTGTGGGCTTCTCCTAGAGACTTCCTTCTTTCTCCATCAACAGAGCAGCTAGAGAAGTAGAAATGGGTTTGTTTGAACACTTCCCCTTTACCAAAACAAAAAATAAATAAATGAAGAGGAACTAATATGTGGGCTACTTTTATGTTATATGTCATATTTATTTTATATTTATTTTTCCATTATTTTACCATTTTACAGATGAGGAAACTGATGCCAATGGAGGGTAGAGTTCTGCCTGAATTTCCAGAGCTCAAAGTGGTAGGGTTGAGGTTCCAATTTTAGGTAAGCAGTCAGGACTCCAAGCTGGAAGTCTTCATCAGCACCTTGTATGATCGCATTACTACATAGGTTGGAAAATGAGAAAAACAAGAACAAATTTAGACTCTGAGTCAATAGCAGTTAGGAACTTGCTAAGAAGTAAGCGTGCTCCGATTCTGGAGCTGTCAGAGAAAATGAAAGTATATTCAATTAAGTTATAATAGTCCTTCAAATGCTTATGGAGACATTATGATACAGATGGTCACATTTATTCATACTTATTTCTCACTTGGTCCAATCCGATGCACAGGGTGTTCATGAGGGGCATGGAGCATGTAGAAAATGGCACTAGCTAAGAGAGAATTGAGGTAATCGATGAAGGGTATTCACCCTGCATTTCCTCCTTTACCTTCCCCACACTCAAGCAGATAGCTGACTCTGAGTTCATCTCCTCAAGAGAGGATGAAGCAGGGTAAAAAGTAAAAGTTGGCAACTGCTCCTCTTTCTGGCTTTTAGCTCCAAGGTCTAACTACAAAGAGGGCAAGGATGTTTCAGCATGGACTGGTGAAGGGACATGATGGATGGATCCAGTTTGGATGGATTGCAGACTGCATTAACCATCACTAATACTCATCGACCTCTATGCATTCACTGGATGCACTCATTGAATGCTCTCAGGACCTTATAAGGTTGTTGTTACTAATATTGTTAAGAATGCTCCATGAGGGCAAGGATTTTTCTCTGTTTTTATTTACTGCTTAACCTCTACTATCCAGAATAGTACCTGGCAAAGATTAGGTACTCACTAATATTTATTGTAGAATAAATGCCCATCTAAAGATGGAGGAACTGAAGCACAGAGAGGTTAATAACCTGTGCAAAATCCCAAGGCTGGTCGTGGATGAGAAGAGTTAAAGCATACCCACCTGGGCCAGGGATGGGAGAAGCAAAAGGAGGGGAAATGTGTAGTTCTAGACAGCAGAGGGGCCCCGGGGCCATATTGTGCTGCCAGGGAGGTGGCAAGACCACTTTGAAGAAATGGCTGTGTTGGAGGGTGTAGAGTTGGAACTTGAGAAAGCATCCGAAGTGGCTAGGCTGCCACATTTGGGCACGAGAGTGGCAGAATGAGGACACTGCAGAAGCAGCAGAGAGCTGCTGGTGGGAAGGCCATGCACACATGAATGGCGGCAGCCTCCATGACAGCTGCTGTAGATGGATGACCAAGAATTGAATGGCATTCCTCCCCTGAGAGATGACTGGTTGCTTTGTTTTCCTACAAGCAAGAAAAATGGGCTGTAAAGCAGACTATTATTATAGAAAATGAGGCAAGTGCTATATCTTGTATATTTGATTTTTTTAAACCCAAGCATAACGTAGGAAGCGAATATTAAATGCGTCATCAGAAGGTGTAAGCTTTGATCTTAGCTTGTCCCACCCGAAATTCCTAGGCAATTTACCTAATTTCCCTATGTCTGTTTCATCATCTATCAAGTGGGAATTAGAAGTGATTGAGGTGAGGACAAAAAGGTTTTTTTGAATGCAAGTTAAAACTCAGTGAAAGATAAAAAATACAATATGCTAATTTTGTATAGCTCCTATTTCCTTTGCACTTGATTTTGATTTACATAGATCTCTTTGGTGAATAAGGGGCTGGATTTATATCTTAAGCTTCCTGCAGACTTAATATTTATATTTTTCTTCATTTCTAATATATACAATAAATGGATGTAAACATATTATTCAATGTTTAAAGTGCTAATAAATAGGAAATATTTGACAGGTTGCTATTGCTGCCTATAAGTGTTGTTTTCTAGAAGTTGCAAGCCAACCTGTCATTAATATGTTTCATGGACAATCTGCAGGCCCTATAATGCACAGGCAGGTATTTCACTGGATCCTTTCACTGAGCTGTCCTAATATTATACCTGTAATGAATTGGAGTGGAAAAAAAATAAATTTCTAGAACATTTAGGCATTTGTTACTCATCTGTATAAGGATTATCAACAAGGTGTGTTAGAATCTTCCACTCCAGCTTTATGGCTCTTCTGAGAAAAGGAATGTAAATGAAATATCCTCGCAGTAATGAGAACTGTAAAGAGTCCTTGTAAAAAATGTGAATGGTTGGGAAATATAAATTGGGATCATTCACTCATCAAAGATGTATTAGTACCTATGATGTGCCTGGCATTTCTTTCCACAAGGAGGGCATAAGAGTAAACTGAATAACGAGGCACCTGCTCTTATGGAGCTTACCTTCTGCTGGAGGGGGGTGAAAACAAACCAAGAAAATACACTCTATTGTCAGACATGGTAATGAAGAAACACACAGCAGGTAAACGACAAGACTGTTGGAGGAGGGTTCTGGTGAGGATGTGGTCGGCCAAGGGCTCCCCAAGGAGACCAAATGAATTGAGGAAGCAAGCCACTTGTGTATCTGAAAAGAAGGCTTGCCTGTATTCCAGTTGTCTCATTCTCCAGGAGCCTGCGGTGTAAAACTTTAAACATAAATGAGCATGTAGCAATAGACACATGTCAGCACCTGTAACTTTGATTCTATCTATTGAATGCAAATACATTAGATTATTTACACACAGAGAGCCTATCAAATGCCAAGAATAACCAGAAGTCTTTGCAGGCGGGACTGTTTGGTGAGCATATTTCATCTGAGAAATGAAGGAAGACACTTGGGTGGAAGTAAGTCGTCTTGACTCTCATTGGCTTGTGACTGTGACTTACTCATCATATAAACCCAAGATGCAGTCACTTATGAGGGCATAGAAGATACTAGAGACTCCACGGAAACATAGCACAAGTAAGTGGTAAGATTGAACTCTATAGAGATATGAAATGAGAGTGTTCTCTCTTCATCTTAGTGCTTATTTTTATTACTGTCAAATTTGTGTGTGACTGAGCAACTTTCTGATGACCTCTTTTCACTGTGCCACTCCCTCTGATCTGGTCTCATGCAGACCCTCCCTATGTTAGTGGCCAAATAGAAATCAAACAGTAATTTCTAAGAGAAATATAGGTACTGGAGATTTTTAAAGATTTTTAAAGATTTTAAAAGATTTAAAAAGATCCTTTAAGTAGACTTTAACATACAAAATACAGTCAGTACAAGTGATGCTTTTTAATGTATGAAGCAGAAGTTCTTTCTTTCTTTCTCCCTTTCTCTCTCTTTCTTTCTTTCTCCTTTTCTCTCTCTTTTCTCTCTTTCTTTCTTCTCCCTTTCTCTCTCTTTCTCTTTCTTTCTCCCTTTCTTTCTTTCTTTTCTCTTTCTTTCTCTCTTCTTTCTTTCTCTTGGATTTTCTTTGTAATACTTTCTGTCACTTTAAGGCTCATTTTGTTGAAATGTCTTCATGTTTTGCCAAGAATTACATTCTATCATCATTTGGATTCAAAGATAATTTAACGCATTTACTCCAGGCTAAGAATTTGGGCTCACAGCTCCCAAAGGATATTTCAATTATTCCTCTTGCCTTGGCTTTAATGTGAGGCAGCCATTTAAAATGATATTTCATTGGTCTTTGATGGGAAAATAGAAATCCTGGCCTGCCAGTGTGAAATTAAACATTCAGGGTTTGACTGAAATCAATATTATACTCAGTTAACAAAAATGCTGATATTTCTCTGTAGTCCTACAATTTAACTCCAACCTGGCAACTTTTCCAGAACTGAACTAGAAATGCTCAGGGACTCTGTGAGTGAAGGAAATCAACATTCTCTACCACCAACTGTTAGTACGTAATGCAGTACTGTTATTTAAGGTCATAATGTGCAAGAAGTTCTTATGTAGACAATAACATCTCATGTGATTGCTCTCTGAATCCAATTTTCGCATTTCAAAACACTGCAGTCTATATAATGGGAGTACAAATGTTACTCTATGTACTCTATGCCAGTACATTTGTACAGGTTAAACATTGGTCAAGTTGAGATACAGCAAAGAACTGTTGGCAAATTCACAAATAATTTGTGCTTTTATACTTCAAATGTGTAGGTTATTGCATTATTCTCAAGTATGCTTGACTTTCCTTTTATTTAAGAGTAAGAGCTCATGTAGACCAACACTTTTATGAGTGAAATAAAAATAAATAGTGTTTAGGTTTTGAAGTGAATTGTAAAATGGCTAATACTTAATTCCTATTTGTAAGTTTTTCTATCCTTTGAAATTATTTCAAAAATTCAATTCCCTTTTTTCAGTTATCTGCTGAAATATTTTAAGTGCATAACATAGTAATTGAATATTAGCCTCTTTTGCCGGAGTTGAGTTTGGATTGTTATCTCCTTTCTGGCGCAGACATTAGCATTTTTGATACTGTTTTACTGGGCTCTTATAGCGATGTACAGAATAGGATATCAGCTTAGTTAAAATGAAATGGTTTTTTACAGTTTATATTTTATCAATGACTGCATTAAAATTGCCTCTGGGACTGAATACGCCTGTGTTTGGTGGTTATTAATCAGCTGAAATGTATCATAAAGTAAAAAGAGCTACAGGGGCACCTGCGTGGCTCAGTCAGTTAAGTGTCTGGCACATCATTTTGGTTCAGGTCATGATCTCACGGTTTGTGAGATTGAGTTCAGTGTCGGGCTCTGTGCTAACATTGCGGAGCCTGCTTGGGATTCTCTCTCTCCCTCTCTCTCTGCCTCTCTATCTCTCTCTCAAAATAAATCAGTAAACATTAAAAAAAAAAAGAAAGAAAAAAAGGAAAAAGAGCTATAAACCAGGAGGAAGAAAGAAAGTACACAAGACAGAACTTTTCAAAAACACTATTATTGTCATATCAAAGGTGTACTTTCTAAATAAGTTTAGCATATATTAAAAGGTAAATCTTCTTTTGAATTTAATGGCTACCTCTGTGTGAGTTCATATGTGAAAATTTCTATCCAGGGTATGTATTATTCATCATTTATATGTTCTTTAAGAAACTGTATATCTTATTTTTCTTTTTTTTAATTTATTTTTATTTTTTTATTTTTTTTCCAATATATGAAATTTATTGTCAAATTGATTTCCATACAACACCCAGTGCTCATCCCAAAAGGTGCCCTCCTCAATACCCATCACCCACCCCCGCCCCTCCCTCCCACCACCCATCAACCCTCAGTTTGTTCTCAGTTTTTAAGAGTCTCTTACGCTTTGGCTCTCTCCCTCTCTAACCTCTTTTCTTTTTCTTCCCCTCCCCCATAGACTTTCTGTTAAGTTTCTGTTAAGGGTCCACATAAGAGTGAAACCATATGGTATCTGTCTTTCTCTGTATGGCTTATTTCACTTAGCATCACACTCTCCAGTTCCATCCACGTTGCTACAAAAGGCCATATTTCATTCTTTCTCATTGCCACGTAGTACTCCATTGTGTATATAAACCACAATTTCTTTATCCATTCATTAGTTGATGGACATTTAGGCTCTTTCCATAATTTGGCTATTGTTGAGAGTGCTGCTAAAAACATTGGGGTACAAGTGCCCCTATGCATCAGTACTCCTGTATCCCTTGGGTAAATTCCTAGCAGTGCTATTGCTGGGTCATAGGGTAGGTCTATTTTTAATTTTTTGAGGAACCTCCACACTGTTTTCCAGAGCGGCTGCACCAATTTGCATTCCCACCAACAGTGCAAGAGGGTTCCCGTTTCTCCACATCCTCTCCAGCATCTATAGTCTCCTGATTTGTTCATTTTGGCCACTCTGACTGGCGTGAGGTGATACCTGAGTGTGGTTTTGATTTGTATTTCCCTGATGAGGAGTGACGTTGAGCATATCTTGTTTTTCAAACACAACTCTAAGTGGTTTTTTTATTTTTCTGATAATCAGTAACTTTAAATAACTCTCTTCAGAATGGAAGGAAGCCAGTGGCTAGCTTCAGTTATAAAGGAAAGCTTTAAGCATGATCAGTTTATCTTTTTCCTTCTTGTTTCTGTATCATTTCAGGAAATATATACAGCTTTCCTTACATACGATTCTTTTTTTTTAATTTTTTAACATTTATTCACTTTTTTGAGAGACAGAGAGAGACAATACAAGTGGGGAAAGGACAGAGAGAGAGAGAGACAGAGTCCAAAGCAGGTTCCAGGCTCTGAGCTGTCAGCACAGAGCCCAATGTGGAGCTTGAACCCACGAACAGTGAGACCATGACCAGAGCGGAAGTCAGATGCTCAACTGACTGAGCCACCCAGGCGCCCCTTCCTACATGGGATTCTTAACGTGTAGTGATAGTGGAAAGGCTCAGAAATGAAACTGACAGGGAACAGCATGACACTGGAATTTGCTTAGGCCAGTCCAATCATACTTAGGGGTATAATCCATCCGGTGTTCTTTCTATGTATTGTGTGAAATTGGGATCTAATTCTGTATATCTTCTTCTTTTGTCTCAGAACCATTTCAGTCTAGCCCCATTATGTTCTCACTGTCATGTCATCTTGGTCATATATCTGAGATTCTGTTAAAGGCTCTATGCACCTCTGTGTGTCTGGTCCTGAACAAAGATCACATTACCCTAATTGCAAGTTGTTTTTTTTGTTTTGTTTTGTTTTGTTTTGTTTTGTTTTTGTTTTTTTATGTAAGTCTTGCAGTCTGGTAGGTCAAGTCCTCTCCCTCTGCTCTTTTCATTTGTCTTGGCTATTTTGGTCCTTAGCATTTCTGTTTGAAATTCAGGCTCAGGTTTATCCAGAGAGTCTCTTGAATTTTAAATACAAACAATAACTTTGATTGCAAATAAGGACAGTTTTGTCTTTGCCTTTCCATTCCTTACATATGTTGTTTATTGTTGTCTTATCTTACTGAGTAGCTAGGCATCTGGAACTATGTTGAACAGTAAGAGTAGTAGTGAGGCTCTCGTTATTCCTGACATTAAAGAAAATGCTTCTATTGGCTTCCCATTATGTATGTTTGCTCTAAGTTTTGTTTTTTGTTTTTGTAAAAAGAGACTCTAATAGGTTAAAGAAGTTTTCTTCTGGGTCTGGTGTCTTTCATGAATGTAACTAATTCCATTCATTACATAATGGGTAATTACCAATGGGTAATGACCAAGCAATTTCTTCACTGGTTAGTGTTAAATGCAGGCTTTCAGTTTTTTTATTTGCTTGTGTTAGTTTACATATTTCTCAAAATCTTTCCATTTAAGTGTTCGGTTATTTGTCGTGTTACATGTCATGTTATGATTTTTTTACTGTTTTTTTTATTTTATTTTATTTTATTTTTTTTTTAATTTTTGAGAGAGAGACAGAGCTCGAGCCAGGGGTGGGGAGACAGAGAGAGAGGGAGACACAGAATCCGAAGCAGGCTCCAGCACAGAGCCTGACAGGGCTCGAGCCCACGGACTATAAGATGATGACCTGAGCTGAAGTCGGTCACTTAACCGACTCAGCCACTCAGGTGTCCCATTAGCTTATGATTTTTAATGATCTATTTCATCTGCTGTTATGACCCTTTTTGCTTATAATATTAATTTTTTGTGACTTTTCATATATTTTCCTTGTTTTCACTTTTACTAGAGGTTTACAATTTGACCTTTTAGAGATTGTAAGAGCCCACCAGGCCCTAGTTTCAAGCAGTGCTTCCCTACAGTCTCTCATTTGTGTGGGGGACCTTATTCTCCTTTTTTCCAAAGGAGTTACCTTCCTCAATGGTCACTGCCTCTCTCAGAATTCAGGGTCCTGCTTACTGTATTTGGTGTCTGTTTGCTTTGCTCCAGGCAAAGTTTGTCTTGGCTTTTAATCCTGACACTGTATTTTTCTTTTTATCCTTAACTTACTTTTATTTTTATGTGCTTTGAGGATCAGAATCCAATCAAATTACACACAGCTGGGCTTGAACCTCAACTAGGGTGGGAACTGTCCTTCCCTGTCTTCCTCTCTCGCGCCCTCCCTTTTCATCCTTCCTGCTTTGCTTTCTGAATGTACACCGTGTGCCAAGCATTGTATTGGTACTTTCTACACAATATTTTCATTACCACTTGGCAGGTGAGGAAAGTAAAACTAGGAACAGGTAACTCGCCCAAGGCCATTTAGATACTAAGTAGCACAGTGCCTGCAAACCACACTGACCTACTCAACCCTTAAGTGAGCTGCCACTGACCTACTCAACCCTTAAGTGCATTCCTCACTGCATCCATTGTGGGAGCGGGATGTACCTTACCTTCATCCTTTTAGCCTATCATCCTTATGAAATAAAGGCTTTAACAAAGTGAGGTTATTGTAACAGAAATAGACTGCTGAGTGCAGTACGAGGAACAAAAATCTTCCAGACACTATGCTCTATAGTTCTCATTAGCTTCTATTGTAAATTTCCTTGTCTATTTTCACCATACAAACATTTACTTGGAATTTCTTCGGTTAGTTTTTATGCAAAAACTTTATGAAATATAGAAAGGATCTTTAAACTTCGTAGATGTTTGCAATTGCATTTACATTTACTTATTTTTCATGTTATAAAATGTGCACATATGTCCTGAAAAACAAGTCTTCAAGTTTGGAATTTTGTAGCTGTAAGAATCAAGAAATCTAGACTTTCACTCAATAGAAAATATAATTATGCAACTAACTACAGGAATGTGTTGTGTAAGTACAGCTTCATCAATGAGTTACAACTGTTGAAAGGATGTTCTATCTTGAAAGATAAGCATTTGTCAGTTGTTCATGGACCTGTGCCCAATCTTAGATTTAAAGATATATTTGCAGAGAACTGTAGATAGCTGCCAACTTATACTAAGGACTTTTTTAAATGTCTTCTTTACTTGAGTGAAATACAATATAAAATGGCACATTTTTGCAAATGAACAATAACAAGTGTCTTTGTTTTCATGCAGAATTAGGAGGTGGACACTGATATTTATGTAGCATTTGACCAAATGATACAAAGTCATGTTTATTTTTTTTAACATTGATCATAATGGATGTATGTGAATCTACATATTCATATAATGCTCATAAGGAAAATACACATAATTTCTTTGTTGCTGAGGAAACATTGACCCACACAGCAAAAATCAATAAAAAAAAGTTGTATACAATGTTCTTCAAATAAAAACTGTGACCAAGAATGACATTTTTTCCACTCTGAAGACTCTTTTTGTTCTTTTGAGATTTAGAACTGTTAGATCAAGGAGTTGTAACAATTATGCTTTTTATTTCCTAGATAAGAATGTTTCCTTGGGGCACCTGGGTAGGTCCGTCAGTAGAGTGACCGACTCTTGACTTAGGTTCAGGTATTGATCCCCAGGTCATGAGATCAAGCCCCACATTGAGCTCTGTGCTGACGGCATGAAACCTGCTTGGGATTCTGTGTCACCCTCTCTCTGTGCCCCTCCCCCACTGTCTCTCTCTCTGAAAATAAACAAGTAAACTTAAAAGAAAAAGAGTGTCCCCTTTATTGTGATTACATAAACTATTCCTTTTTTTTTCAGAAGGAAGCTTATTACTTTACCTTTTTTACTATTTTTATACTCTCATGTTTTTCCCACTATTTATTTCTAAGCTCAACATTAAGTTTAACTTAGTCCCCCAAATTTGAACTCCTTGTATGCATATTTCTCCCCCAAAGAACTGGGGGCTCTGTACCTTGGAATTTTTATTAGTTCACTCCAGTGAATTTTTAACTCACATACCTGATATGCGAGGCATGTGCCACATTTCACTTGGACACGGACTGGACTGGCCAACAGGAGTAGGATGGCTTGTGGAATGTTCAGGGTGACTGAGTTTCTAGCAAGGAGCATCACCTCCACCCACAATACCTGGACGGGGAAAACCCAGGCCCAGAGAAATGGATTCACCAGAAATTACCGTCACCATTCTTTCCTGGGTCTTGAAGGGGTCTCAATAGGCAACCAGACAGCTGTTTGTGGTCATCTGCACCACAGCGGGATACTGGGAGTGCATAAACTTGGCAATCTAGATTTTTGTGGTTTGTGTTTGACCGTTTATGTGGTGTGATTTCAGATAGAATTTTGTTTTGAGACTTCAGCCTAACTTTTCTTTTTATTTACTATTCCGTTAACATCCTTGAAAAACTTCCCTAGCAGAAAATAAACTACTTAAACTTACCACTTAAAATAAATAATTGTTGGGGCACCTAGGTGACTCAGTTGGTTGAGTGTGTGACTTTGGCTCAGACCACGATCTGACGGTTCGTGAGTTCAGACTCCGCATGGGGCTCGCTGCTGTCAGCACAGAGACCACTTTCGATCTTTTGTCCTCCTCTGTCTCTGCCCCTCCCCAACTCATGCTCTCTCTTTCAAAAATAAAAAGCTAGGGGCGCCTGGGTGGCGCAGTCGGTTAAGCGTCCGACTTCAGCCAGGTCACGATCTCGCGGTCCGTGAGTTCGAGCCCCGCGTCGGGCTCTGGGCTGATGGCTCAGAGCCTGGAGCCTGTTTCCGATTCTGTGTCTCCCTCTCTCTCTGCCCCTCCCCAGTTCATGCTCTGTCTCTCTCTGTCCCAAAAATAAATAAACGTTGAAAAAAAAAATTTAAAAAAAAAAATAAAAAAATAAAAAGCTAAAAAATAATTATTCTTTACGACTTCTATTCATGTAATTACTATGAACATTATTTGTTTTTAGTGTACTGTATTCACAGTGGTTATTTTTGACTATAGAATTAACTCAGTTATTATCGTCAATAGCTAATAATTATTAAGCGTCTGGCATTGTGTGAAACGCTTTACCTGTACTACCTCAGTACATCTCCAAGTCCATATTAGTATCTCTACTTCCAAAAAATGGACTTTGAAATTCAGAGAGATTTTGTTGACTAGTCCAAAGATACACAGCAACTTAGTGCAAGAGCTGAATTTCAAATGAAAATGTTTCTTTCTAGGTTACCTGATCGTTAAAAAATTACAGGGGCGCCTGGGTGGCGCAGTCGGTTGAGCGTCCGACTTCAGCCAGGTCACGATCTCGCGCTCCGTGAGTTCGAGCCCTGCGTCGGGCTCTGGGCGGATGGCTCGGAGCCTGGAGCCTGTTTCCGATTCTGTGTCTCCCTCTCTCTCTGCCCCTCCCCCGTTCATGCTCTGTCTCTCTCTGTCCCAAAGATAAATAAAAACGTTGAAAAAAAAATTAAAAAAAAATTACAAGACATTCTACCATTAGTGCTTGAAATCATTAATCGTTTATAAACAATGGAAATGAGATGATACAAATCACAGAAAACTCATGAAATTATAACGACCTACATCTAACCAATGTAGCCAGTATTAGCAAACTTTATGAAATGTAAGACAGTTGCTTTCTTTCTCCCTTGCTCCTCTACGGGAGGTACAGAGAAATATGCCTCCCATTGCCCCCTCCCAACAAAGGTCACCAAGGTGGGTTCTGTTTGCGGGGTGCTAGCATCCCAGTAAAACCCAGCAGCATGCATGCAGTAAAAGAGAAAAGAGAGCAGTGTTTCCCTAAGCCTTTGATTCCTAGAGGGAAATGCCATGGGCGAGAGAAGGGAGGCGATGGTCAGCTCAGGTTGGCAAGGCTGGCTCACATTCCCCTTGCATGTACCCTGTTCATGAAATCCTTATCCAGCTGTCTACAAGTGAGTAAAGGCAGGAAAAAAAACAGCTTAAAATGGAAAAAATGGAAAGTTTCAGACTCTGTCCTCTGAAGGTTGGTGTATAGATACCCTCTCACACTGAATTTTTTTTGTAAGTAAAATTTGAGTTTGATTATTTCACTGGAATGTTCCAGCTAATTCTTAAAGAGGTAGTCATGATCTTCTAACAAGTCTTTCCCATATGTTATTAGGATAGTGATTTATAATTCAGGTTTTGAAATATTCTCTAATATCTACAGCTATTTCAAAAGATGCCATAAAGTTTTGAAAAAATCCCCAAAGAAAAATATCAAAACATCCCTAGAGGGCTGCTAAAATAATCTTCAAATTCTCTTTTTCCAGAATCCCACCATGCCAAACTACAAACTCACTTATTTTAATATGAGGGGGAGAGCGGAAATCATTCGATATATATTTGCATATTTGGACATAAAGTATGAAGACCACAGAATAGAACAAGCTGATTGGTCTGAAGTCAAATCAAGTAAGTGGCACAAATAGTTCATGAAAATGTAGGGAAAACATATTTCCAGAACTTTCTGTGTTTCCTCAGGGAAATGAAAAAAAAGAAAGGTTTTAATTTTTTTATTTATTGATTAAAAATTTTTTAATGCTTATTTATTTTTGAGAGAGAGACAGAGCACAAGTGGGGTAGAGGCAGAGAGAGAGGGAGACACAGAATCCGAAGCAGGCTCCAGGCTCAGAGATGCCAGCACAGAACCTGATGCAGGGCTCGAACTCATGAACCGCGAGATCATGACCTGAGCTGAAGCCGGACACTTAACTGACTGAGCCACCCAGGTGTCCCATTTATTATTATTTTTTTAAATAGAGGTTTTTAAATCTGATTTAGCTTTACATTGAGAAGCTAGGTGGCCCCCAAAATTTTCTATTCAAGGTGAAAACACAAACCTCATAGAAAGAATATATAAACAATACAAAGCTGTGTCAGAAGAGCTGAAATGGGGAATACCAAAGTCATTATTCTTGACAATTGGAATTGGATGGGCTCACTGCAGATACCTATAATGTTTTTACAAGGGATCAGATATGCTGCTGTAACAGAAAACCGACCTCAAAATCGCTTAGATGACAAGGAAATTAGTTGTCTCAGATAACCAAAAATCAGAAATAGGACAGGTTTCAAGAGATGACTTTCTTCTGTGTGTTGGCGGCATCATGGAACAAGTAACAATAAGGTTGCTGCGGTTCCAGCCCCACAACCTTGAACAGGAATGTCGAGAGATATGTGAGAGAGAGAAAGAGCACTGCTTCCATAAATGTTGAGTGAAGAAAATCTTTCCCAGAAGACGTCGGCAAACTTGTCATGTCTCACTGGCTCAAATTGGGTTATGTGTCTGCATGTGAACCGACAAAGCAGATAAGAAGTACCTTGAACCATCTAATCTACCTCTGAAGTTGGGGGTGGAATCAATTTTCATGCAGCATGTGACTATTCAAAAGAAGGATGGATATGTGAGCAAAACTAGGATGTTTGATCAGAAGAAAGAGCAAATTGACGAATCGGGCAGGTAACCAAATGAAAACATGCTACTTAGCACTCAGGACAAAGGGGAAGAATTAGAAATATTATTACATTAAAAAGTGTGTGGCTCTCAGTAAATTGTGAGTCATCCCCTAGGTGCTTTTTTTTTTTTTTTTTTCTGAATGAAGAAAAAATAGATGAGCTAATTCTTTTGTTCATGAAATCCACCTAGAAATACTAACTAAATATTAGTTGTATGGTTAAAATTCACATTTTTGTGATGAAGTTATTACAAACTTGCATAAAGATGAAGTTGAAGAAAACAACTATTGAGTATTGGAAGACTATCGGGCACCTGGTAGATACTCCCCAGACTCAATTCATTTAATTTCTCCAGCCTGCCTTCATGGGATGTATTATTGTTTCTATTTTATAGCTGGGATAGCTATAGCACACAGAATTTATGTAATCTATGTTCACAGTCCTAGCAGGGTAGAATTGTTTTTCAAACACAGGTCAATTTCATACAGTGGCCCAAGTTATTTGCACTAGATGCCAATAACTGCAGCCACTCTGGAAAACAATGTGGAGGTTCCTCAAAAAATTAAAAGTAGAACTACCCTACGACCCAGCAATAGCACTACTAGGAATTTATCCAAAGGATATAGGAGTGTTGATTCATAGGGGCACAAGTACCCCAATGTTTATTGCAGCATTATCGACAATAGCCAAAGTATGGAAAGAGCCCAAATGTCAGTCAACTGATGAATGGATAAAGAAGATGTGGTTTATGTATACAATGGGATACTAGTCAGCAATGAAAAAGAATGAAATCTTGCCATTTGCAACAATGTGGATGGAACTGGAGGGTATTATGCTAAGTGAAATAAATCAGAGAAAGACAGATATCATATGATTTCACTCATGTGTGGAATTTGAGAAACTTAACAGAAGACCATGGGGGAGGGGAAGGAAAAAAAGTAGTTACGGAGAGGAAGGCAAACCATGAGAGACTCTTTTTTTTTTTTTTAATTTTTTTAACGTTTATTTATTTTTGAGACAGAGAGAGACAGAGCGTGAACAGGGGAGGGGCAGAGAGAGAGGGAGACACAGAATTTGAACGGAGTCCAGGCTCTGAGCTGTCAGCACAGAGCCTGACGAGGAGCTCGAACTCACAGACCGCGAGATCATGACCTGGGCAGAAGTCGGACGCTTAACCAACCAAGCCACCCAGGTGCCCCAAGAGACTCTTAAATACAGAGAACAAACTGAGGGTTGATGGGGGTGGGGGAGAAAGGAAAATGGGTGATGGGCACTGAGGAGGGCACTTGTTGGGATGAGCACTGGGTGTTGTATGTAAGTGATGAATCATGGGAATCTACCTCAGAAACCAAGAACACACTGTATGCTCTGTATGCTAGCCAACTTGACAATAAATTATATTAAAATAAATATATAAATAAAACCACTAACACCAGGATAACTGGCATATTAACAATACATATCACCACATGCCTTTTAAAAACATGAGTTCTTTAAAAGTCATTGCCCCTGTAATCACTCTTTTTTTTTTATCAGAGAACTCTTCCCTGGAGGGCTTGAATATTTCATTTCCTTTTATCATGAAACTTTCTCATTAATATCCAAACTCTCCCCCTGCCATCAGAATTTGTACATGGGATTTTTAACTCTGTGGACATGAAATAGGTGAAATTAAATTGTATTCATTAAAGAAGTCAAGATGGATAGCAAGTTGCACAGACATTACATATAACAAATGCTGCCTTTTAGTTTTTAGATATAAGTTCTGTGCGTGCCTCATACCCTCTTCTGCCTTGACTTTCCATTATGTTATTAAAAACGGAATTGCTACATTTTCTTAATATTTTCACAGATTCTTAGAGTTGAAAGGAATTTTAAAGTTCATGGTGGTTAGGATGTGTATATATATATATATATATATATATATTCATAGTTTCAGATGCTTTAACAGACACCCAACACAAAAATGGCCTAAAGAGAATAGAAATTCATTTCTTTTGCATAAAAGCCCAAGCTGGTATAGTGGTGCTGCTCCATGAAGTTGTCAAAGATTAGGCTCCTTATTTTCTGTTGATCTGCCACCCCTTGTTGGTTGTCTCATTTATATAGTGTAAGATAGCTCCCCCTCCTTCCACATTTCAACTCACAGGAAGTCTAAGAGGGAAAGGGGCACATCTCTTTCTTTCAACAGCATGACCAGAAAGTTTTACATTTCACTTCTGCTTGTAGCCCCTTGGTAAGAACTTATTCATGTGGTCATACATTACTACAGGGGAAGCTGGGAAATGCTGACGTTATTGTGGATAATCATTTGCTCAGCTAAAAATCCAGGATTTTATATCTTTGAGAAAAAAGGCAAGAGCAGATGTTGAAAAGCAGTTTATTACATATTTTAGCTGGCCTCATCTCCCATCTGACTTAGGAATGCTCGCTGGTGTTTGAAATCCTCTATGACCTGCCCTCTGTGATAACCTAGAATATCATTGGATATTTCCATTAAGAAGTTCTTCCAAGTCAAACCTGGTAAACTGCACACAGGTGTTGACATTTTTTTTCTCTTGAAATAACATTGAAGTACTTCTTAAAAAAAAAAAAAAAGTCAAAGCCCTACAAGGACAAAGAAATCAAGCTTGAATATAACAGCACAAAATTCTCAAAGCTGGAAAACAGGTCCAAGAATGGTAAGATGATGGGGCGTCTAGGTGGCTCAGTCAGTTAAGTGACCAACTCTTGATCTCAGCTCATATCATGATCTCACGGTTTGTGAGTTCACCCCCGTGTCAGGCTCTGCACTGATGGCTTGGAGGCTGCTTGGGATTCTCTCTCTCTCTCTCTCTCTCTGCCCCTCCCCTGCTTGTTCTCTCTCTCTCTCTCTTTATCCCCCCCCTCTCTGTCTCAAAATCAATAAATAAACATTAACAAAAACAGAATGGTAAGGTGACTTAGTAGGCTACTGATGCTCAAATATAAGCCTAGAGGAGGAGGAGGCAAGCTGAATCACTCCAGGGAGCCCCCCAAATTCTCAGGAATTGGAAGCAACTGAGAACTCCAAAAACTGAACTGACAGAGGATTGACTGGAAGAATGTGAGGCAGCTGCATGACCACAAGATCTTTTTCCCACCCTGGAAGAAGGATGGAGATTACTCTCAATCAAGGACGACCCAGGGGATTCTAGGACACCAGTCATGTCCGAGGACACAATACTATAGGTAGGATTCAACGGAAATCTAGAAACTAAATAGTGAGACCCAAAGCCCTTATCCCCTGCTCTACAGTCAGAATGCTGCAACCAAATGAGTATCCCTCGGGCAGGAAATGCGAAGTGTTATCTCCAGGGAAGCTGGTCAGTCCAAGAGAAATGTCTAGCAGACACTGAACGGGTGGGCATCTCAGTGACACGGCCCAGCCCAGTCTGTTTGTAAGCCCTTCCCATGTCCACTGAGGTTCCAATTAGCTTTTATTCCTTTCACTTATTTAAAACAGGAATGGCAAACCAAAATTTAATAGATATTTGTTAGAAGGCCTCTAATATGAAACAGACCTACACGAAGAAGTAGTGGGGGAAAAATCAACTGAGGGCATCAGGATGATATAGCAAGAAAAAAATTTCAAAAATAGAAAATCCTCAAAGAGAACAGATATTCTATACATTGTGAACAAATATGCTATAAAAAGGAATGTTCAGAGACAAAAAAGGTGTTGAAACTAAAAATTTGATATAGACAAAACAAGTCAAATTGATAAAATGATAAAAAAAAGTAAGAACTCCTCCAGAAGGCACAGGAGGAAAAAGAAATAAAAAATGGAGAAAAAAGATTAGAAAAATTGAGACTCAAGTTGAAGATGTCTAATGTCTCAGTGAAATTCTGGAAAGAGAGAACAGAAAACAGAAAAGGAGGAAAACCTTTTTAATTTTTTTTAATGTTTATTTATTTTTGTTCTTTTTAAAAAAATTTTTAACGTTTATTTTTGAAGGAGGAAAACTTTTAAAAGACTCTTCTTTACACAAAATTAAAATCTATCTCCTCATGGTTTTCATACATTGGCCTTGGACTTATCATTTTAATCTGTGGAGAATAGATTATTCCTTCTATCACATCCAATTATTTGAGGAAATTTAGTATCTTTAAGATCATAGAGAAAAAAAGACATTGCTGTGTAGTCAGTTCAATGATAATACTCTGAGTGCAGATAAAGCTCACTGGCCGAGTTCAGAACTGAGTCCCAGCTAACTCATACATCTGTTCCTCTAGATATCAACTTTTAGAACTTCCTTGCTTGTTTCTCTGATCATCATTGTGAATTTCAGTCCAAACTTTCTAGCCCTGACTCTACTTCTTGATTTATATGCTGCTTCCCATGGGTTGTATGAGGTGGGGGTCCAAGGGACAACTCTCTTCTCTTCCTGGAGGGTTCCATTTATGTCCCCTAGTTTGGATTTCCTCACTACCGAAGAAGGACAAGCTACTGTTAGATTATGTCCACCATTTAATGCATGGTGCCTGTGGGGAAACACAATGTTCCAGGCATTAGAAGAGCACAGAGCACAATGGGACCACCACTCTTAGCATAAGTCCGAGATACTCTCCAAGGACATTTTACCAAGATCACAGTGCTTACTTTGGCAGCCATATCACACAGCCTTATACCCAGCGTCACTAAATTCCTTAAAGCTTTTTGACAGATGCTCCTGTTTAGTTACATCTCCAACAACCCCAAAGTTATTTTTTTCTGGAACCAAATGAAGGCCTTGGCACTTATCTTCTTAAATTTCTTTATTCCCACAGTTGGCAATTATCACGAGCTTGGCTCAAATGCTGCCAGTAGCTGAAAGCCTACCATCTCGCAGGAAAACACATTCCATCATCAATAGTTCCAATGCTAAAAAATTATGCTTCATTTTGAGTTAATATCTGCCCTTTTTAAATCACTTTTTAGTTCCAGTTCTGCGTTTTAGAGATAGTCAGGATAAGTACAATTTTTCATCCATTTGATTGCTATGCCATATATGAAGGTGGCCATTAGGTTACACTTCGTTTGTTTTGTTCTCCCCAGTGAAGAGTGCCAAGTTTTTCAGCCAATCCTTATAAAAAGTGGTTTTCAGACCCTTCTCTAACTTGGCTACTGTCCTCTGGGTTTGCTCTGATGTTTAATGTATTTCACAAAATATAGCTCTTAGAACTAGCAAAACAGCTGAGCAAAGTTTTCAACTGAACTCAGTTTGAGCCTCTACCAAGTAGGTGACCTGGACTCTTGACACAACCTCTCTTCACCTCATCTCCTCATTTATAAAATGAGATAATACCTACTTCACAAGATTGTGGTAAGTACCAGAGGACCAAATGGGTACATGAAATATTTAGCACACTGCCTAGCATAAAGGGGGCAGCCCTCTAAATGTTAAGCATGTTAATTTCTAATCACATACTTTGCTCCGAATAAGGCATCGCGATTTGTGTCAGCTTTATTTGGGACTTTGTTTAGCTCACTGCAGTATCTCAGGCACCTAGAATTGTACTTAGCACACTCCTTAGGTAAGTACTCAAAGATGTTTTTATTCCTGATGTGAACTGTAATCCATCTTGTACTTATTTAATGTGCATATGGAAGACACTTGAAGGCTGATTCTAGGTTAATTCTAGTTGCATTAGGGTCATGGGATTATGAGTGGCACTTTATTCTTTTCTCCCTTTCCAAAATAATGATATTTCCCAAACTAAGGCACTGGTTGGGAATATTGTGATCAATACATGTGACAAAATATAATGCAGCCATTAAAAAGGGATGTTTCAGGGCGCCTGGGTGGCACTGTGCTCTCTCTATCAAAAATAATCATTAAAAACAATTAAAAAAATTTTTTTAAATGTTTATTTATTTTTGAGACAGAGAGAGAGACAGAGCATGAACGGGGGAGGAGCAGAGAGAGAGGGAGACACAGAATCGGAAGCAGGCTCCAGGCTCTGAGCCATCAGCCCAGAGCCCAACGCGGGGCTCGAACTCACGGACTGCGAGATCGCGAGATCATGACCTGAGCTGAAGTCGGATGCTTAACCGACTGAGCCACCCAGGCGCCCCAAAAACAATTTTTTTAAAAAAGCTGATGTGTCATTGATTTGGAAAGATTTCAAAAAGAGGTTATCAAATAAAAAAAGTGGTTTATAAATACATTATGATGTTGTTTTTAAATACATATGAGTAAGCAATTAAAATACTCAAATAGCTGTAATTATATGGTAGTTATTATTTATCTACAACTTAGAATTTTTCTATAAAAACATATTTCTTTCTGACAAAACATAATAGATTGAGATAAAACAAAGTAGGATCTACAGGTAAAATAACACATCTGCTAGGAGTCTGCCCTAATATTTGTACAAATTGCTTACTTACTATCTTACTATATACTTCACCTAGTCTCTCATCAAAATTGGCTAAATTTCTTACCATAACTCGATAAGTAAATCAAACTCTCCATTTCCTTAGATTATGATTTTAAAGAATAACTCACGTTATTGCTCATGGAAGCCACAAAAATTAATGAAGCTTTAAAAGAAAGGTTTTTGAAAAGATAAGTAATAAATGTTATGTAATATATGAGGTAATACACAGGTTAATATGTAGTGTCACTGTAAACCTGGGTTTTCGACCTGCTGCGGCCACTAACTCTGTAGTAGGTCTTCTGACAACTTAAAAAAAAAAAAAAAATCTTATCAAGGGGCGCCTGGGTAGCTGGGTCAGTTGAGCTTCCAACTTCAGCTCAGGTCATGATCTCATGGTTTGTGGGTTCGAGCCCTGCGTGGGGCTCTGTGCCAACAGCTCAGAGTCTGGAGCCTGCTTCTGATTCTGTGTCTCCCTCTCTCGTTGCCCCTCCCCCATTGATGCTCTGTCTCTGTCTCTCTCTCCTTCAAAAGTAAACATTAAGAATTTTTTTTAAATAAAACTATAAAACTTATGAAGATTCTGGTGCTTACTGTCCCTTTTAGAATAAATATTCAAAAATTTTATAACTTTCAAATCATGATTTATTTCTGTAATTATCAGTAAAAATGGAAGAATTATTACTGATTTTGGTACGGAAATTGATTTTTTTTTTTATTGTTGCTTCTTTTATTTTAAGCTCTTCCATTCGGTAAAATCCCCATTTTGGAAGTCGATGGACTTAACCTTCACCAGAGCCTAGCAATAGCAAGATACCTGACCAAAAACACAGGTAATATGTTTATTGTGTTGAAGAGTTTTGATAACCGAAAAAAAAAAAAAACAGGACATATATTTGCTACTCATTAAACAATTTTATTATTGAACATTATAGTGTAAAGAAGAATGAAACTAAATGCCAGAGAAGTATCAATGATAAAGCAGGTTATTTGTTGTACGAGTTATTTATTGTAATATTAGTAAAAGACATGAAAGAAACAAACCTAATCAGCAGAGGCTAGACAGTGGTGCTTCTATGTAGCTGAAAAAGGAGCAAAGATGCCCTTAACAAACTTGTGAGGAAAGATCTGTAGGATATATGGGGGATGCTTATATTGAGTGGGATATATAGTTTTATTTTCATAAAGAAATAATAGAAGAATACCAACCCCCGCCCCCCCCTCCGAATGGAATGGTAGGTAAGGGAGCACAATGAGAGGATGGGAGTGGGGGTGGAAGTTAGTCTTCATTGGATACAGTTTTATATTTTGAATTTTTGAACTATAACAATATATTGCCTATTAAATTAACATTTTAATATAGTCAATCAAATCCAGTGTATTTCTGGGCTTAAAATGGTCTTATTTTATAGATCTGGCTGGAAAGACAGAACTGGAACAATGTCAAGCTGATGCGATTGTGGACACATTGGATGATTTCATGTCACGTTTTCCTTGGGCAGAGAAAAAACAAGATATAAAAGTAATGCGATCAGTTTGTTGTTACTATTAATCATATCCACTTGCCAGGCATTAGGTGGCTTGCTTTAAAATCGCCTTTCTATCAAAGTAAGACATACCTATAGTTTTAAAATATCAAATTATATTAACAAATTTAAAACAAAGTACAGCGATTTCCTGCTTTACCTCTTCACATTAACCCCTCCTCAGACATAACCCTCGTTTAGCTAGTTCTTTAAGACAAGTCCATATGGCTTTCTTTGATTCACTAATTTTAGATAGTTTCTCTGGACTTATTACTATGGTAATAAGAATTTATCTCTTATGTAACATCGTCTCTGCTTCCCTTCTTCCCAATTTTAATGATATTGAAATGTTTTGTTCAAATTGATATTTGGTTGTTACATTAGTATTCCTAGGCAAATATTATAGAGAACTGTGAATTGTAGTATACTTTATTTCCTTTCTCACTTTACCTCCTCAAAGTTACTAATTGCCTTTCCTTCATTTGCCTAATTGCTTTTACACTTACTACTAAACCTTCCCACACCATCCAGTAGCCTGCCAATACGATTTTCCACAAGGTCAATGATACCAGATAATCTATTATGTCCCCTATTTTCTTGGAGATACCTGGCCGAGATCCTCTCTCTTTTGCTGAACTGTCTAGGTTTCTGCACATCTGTCTTCACCAGACTTCCCTTCACTGTCATCCCAGGGATGTCTTTCTCCTGAGAGGAGTCCTATTGTTTCCTGGATGCCACCTCTGTCTTTTACTTACTTCTTTATTTAGGGTGCATCCTCCAGGATTCTAAAAGTTAAAAGGAAGGCTTGATGACAAGAGGTGTGATGACAGACAGCATGGATATGTCTGTCTTGTGTGCCACACTGCTTCAGTCTGGTTTGGTCACCCTAAACACCTCGTGCACAGTTGTCATCCTGAGATCTTTATTACCCTAATTTTCCTCTTTTTTTGGTCTCTGTCTTTCCCCACAAGCCAGACCATCCTTTATAATCCATGATAAAGAATAGGAAAATTAAAAAGTTTACCCAAAGCCCTCGGCATGTGGACAAGGTTCGTTGATTTTGAGCATCACCAGGCCATTTGCAGAGTATTTCTCAATAGCACTATCTTTAGGGACTAGAAGGAGTCCCAAGAGAGGACTTCCAGTCTTTTGCCTGGAAATAAAGTTGTGGATGCCAGTGTTCTGGGAAACAATCAGCAAAGAGAGGGCTAAGAATCTCAGTGTGCATATATTCATTTAATCTCCTATTTTGAATACATTATGAATGACAACTCCCAACCCACAAACCATCGATTTCACCCTCTCGAGCCTTCTGCTAATGATGGGGCAGAGGCACGTGTCAAGTGTAAAATGAAGGAGGAAATCTCATGATAAAACGACTTCTTCCACAGCTTTCCACCAGTCCTCACATTATCCTCTCTCTTACCTCCTTACCCCCAATTCTCGATATATCTTGCCTCTTCCTGAACCATTTGAGGGTGTTATGAGATAGATATTAAAGTTTTCAGCTTTACCTTTGCAGATACCATTCAACCATTTTCTTTACGGTTTCAAATTTTGTTTTGTCTTGTCTCCTGTTTTCCACCTCTTTGTGGGCTCTATCTTTTCAAAAATACGTATTTACTGTGGTTTTTGGATGAAAAATATGTATGTGTGTCACATCCATCATCTTTATCCAGAATTCTAAATAGACCTTGCTGGTTATTCTCCATTACAGCCCCCTAGTGGTGTCCTGTAGGGCCTCATTACAATCATATTTTAAAATATATTTACTTGTTTGTCTCCTCCAGTAGAACACCCATGAGGGTAGTAATTATGTCCATGCTACTCACTCATGTCCCCACACCTAGCACTGCACCTCTCACTTAGCAGGCACTACATATGTGATGCATGAGAGACAGCAAGAGCTGAACTTCTCAAACACCACATGCGGGTGTGGCTCCAGCCCCTTCACACACGTGGTCTCAGCCAGTCCCCCCAATCCACCCGTGAGATAAGTGCTTTCTAAATTTTTTTTTTAACGTTTATTTATTTTTGAGACAGAGAGAGACAGAGCATGAATGGGGGAGGGTCAGAGAGAGGAAGACACAGAATCTGAAACAGGCTCCAGGCTCTGAGCTGTCAGCACAGAGCCTGACGCGGGGTTCGAACTCACGGACTGCGAGATCATGGCCTGAGCCGAAGTCGGCCGCTTAACCGACTGAGCCACCCAGGCACCCCAGTAAGTGCTATCACCATGCTCACTCTGCACATGAAGAAACTAAGAGATAGAGTGGTTATGGAGTTGCCTCATCACCTGTGCATTCTTTCTTTTAAATTAGTGACTAACACCCAGGGCCTCCCTTAGGGAGAAACTATGATGTTCATTTTTCCAGATGGAGAAACTGAGGTTCATGTAGCATAAGTAACTTGTATATGGTTATTTAGCTAGTAAGTAGTACACAAGGAATTCAAATCCCAGCCACTCGGACTCAGACTCCATGTTCTCAACTGCTGGTTTTAATGCCAGCAGCTGGTCACTATGTATGTCTCATCGCTTATGGTCTGTATCCAAAAGTTACAGCATGGAATGACAGTCTTATCAATTTGCTTAAACATATTTATGCTAAATACAACTTACTTAACTAGGAACTTCTGATTTCAATAGAGATATTTGGAACATAAAAGTATTCACATTTCCTGATTCCTTGACATGAATGTAATGGCTGCCTAACCAGCACAAAGTTTAAAATAAAAGCTCAGCTTTGATTCATAGCAATTACCTTCAGGCTCTGGAGTCACACTGCCAGGCTTAAATTCTGATTCCCTTCTTACTAGTTGTCACATAACTACCTATCAATAGTTCAAATTCTTTGTCTGTAAAGTAGGGATACCACAGAATCTACTTTGAAGTGTGTTGGCAGGATTAATGAAAAGTTAGCATGAGTACCTATGACAAGGTAGCAAGTGTTTTGAGAAATATTAGATATTATAATTATTCTATGATATATAATTAATAGTGCTTGTATAGTTCATTGCTCATTGTTTTTCCTTTTCTCAGACATGGCCATCTATATTTAACACATCCTTATAAGTGCAGAGACAAGTAGATACATAATCTCCAATTTAGAGAAATGTATCTAAAACTTTTCCTTCGATGTGCTAAAGACCCCACTGATTGGCAATCTATCAATCAATGGGCTTGTTCTTCTCTATTTCTCTATTTTGTACTTTTCTGTGGCCGAGGCTCCATAATAGAAGCTAACTCCCAGAGGAAAATATTCTTTGGATGTTTATGATTAGAGTAACCTACCTTTGTATTAGAATAACCATGCTCTTACATACCTTCTAGCTAAAAAAACAAAATTCACAGGACATAATCCAAGTTTATAAATAAATCATATGAAAGGAGGACATGTTACAGAAATATTGCAACTGGCTACATACCATCTGATTAATAAGCAGGATCTGGCTAATATATAATGAACAGGCCACAGTTCCAGTATATTCCATTGCGTAGTCTCCCGGCAGTAGGTTGCACTGCTGCCACCTTGTGGTCAGGTACCATTTTCAAGAGCAGAATATTGATACAGTGAAGATGGACGGACAGTGAAAATAGCCCTCTTACTGTATGAGCCCTAAAGATCTATGAAACACACATAATTATAAATGTTACAGTATTGGTTGCTAAAAAATTCCACTTCCAACTTTTAAAAAATTAAATTTAGAAGGCAAAATATGTTTCTGGACATTGGTCACCCTGAGAATCCTCGAATTTACCACTTGTGTTTCCCTGGTTATTCAACATATCTCTTGCAGTTTCCCCCTAAAGAATGGGAACGGGAAGATGAAAGATGAGCAGGATTGAAGGAATGCCGGTGGCCCATTTCCAACACGAAATGATTGAGGAAGTGTGGATTTAAAGATAAATGCTTTGGAGAAATAGAATTCCTCTAAAAGTCATCTGATAGAATACTGTAGCAATCAGTTCTCAGGTTCAAAAACCTCCTGACTTACAATGCTCTGGAGGAAGAAGGAAATTTCTGAGTCTACCGAGTGGCTATCTAGGGTCTATCAGGAAATACATTTTTAAAAGTACACATCTGGAAAAAAGGATGTGTAATGAAATTTCATCTTCTTTGTGTTATTTTAGCGAGTATTCTTCAAAATGATTCTTAAATACTAATCATTATGCTGGTTATAATTTACATGTCATTCGAGGAGATGAATCACTGAGATGATTCACCAAACATGTAAAGAGAACCTGCAATAAAAGATTCTTTTAGTGCAAAGATTTTTATTTGGCATTGCATATGCACAAGCATCAGTGTACCTGACCTTAAGTTGTGGAAAATGCACATTAGAAGAAGGAACAAAATTGTGTAGATGAGAATACAGAAGTTTTGGAAACCTGTCCAGCAGCTACATCCTGTTCCATTCGATTCCTTCCCATTTCTAGCTATTCTAGGAGAGTCAAGTTGGCCATAAATACCTTTCCAACTGATGCTGAGCTGGGCTGGGCTCTGGGAAGTGCCACATAGATCTGGGTCCATTACTTCTCAGCTTGCACATGATGTGTAAGAGGCAGAACTCACACTGTTTTATTGTAAACTATGAACATATTAACCATAGAGAGAGAACCTTATGAATGAAGGTAGCATAGAACAGTGGAAAAAATAAAAACGCAAAATAATGACAAACTTCCCATGTTTCATTTAAAAAATCTGGCCAATGTATGTAAATATGTAATGATGCTTTTGCAAACTGTGCTCTACAAACCTAAGGCATTATGTTACAGTAATCTCTATTACCTAGCAGTTATAACAATAACAAAGGAATTGGCAAGTTGGTGAGGGAGTTAATCCACAACCTGACCTGTCTTAATAAAGGCTGGATTTTATTATACATCATTTATCATTATTAGCAAATAACACATGTACACACATATTTTATAATATTTTTGAGATTGGCTTACATTTCATATCCAAGATACACACCAGCCAGAATTTCCATATACAAACAAACACTTCTTACCAAGAAAGAGGCCATGGTCTCTTCTAAGAACATTTGGTTTGTAATGTTAGCTTACATAATATATCAAAAGAGTGCACCTAGATGATGGTTTTGTAGATGATATTCAAGGCAGACAAGGCTCATACTAAGGCACCATGTCAAGCCAACAAGAAAAAACGCATAAAAGCCCAAGAGCATAATGATTTATTATAGATTACTTCTGTTAAGTGCAATGGGGAAATAAAAGACTGCCAACCAAAAGGAACCTAGCCTTACAAACTAAAATTCATTTCTTTAGCCTCAGTTACGTCATTTCACTTCAAAAAGAGTGAGCCTAAGAAAAAAGATTAATTTTAAAAATGTAAAAACATAATGGAATCGTTTTTTCTCAGTAAAAATTAAGATAAAAATCATGAAAAGTTTTTGTGGGTGAAATATTTAGTCATCATATACAAAGAAGCTGTAAGAACCGGTGACAGTTATTTTTTAATCCATGAGTAACAAAGGGATGACTAAGTATAAAGAATCAGACCCCAATCTCCGTGTCACACACTTGAAAACAGCAACCACCCCCACCAACAACACATAAGCTACTTCTCTTCCTTTCTCAGCTCATACAGGAGAATAAATGTGGAAAAATCTACTTCCTCTTCCAATCATATTATTTATTTTTCTTCCTATTATCCTTAAAGTGAGCTTTTTCTCTCTCTCCTAGGATCAGATGTTTAATGAGCTTCTTACATATGATGGACCTCATCTTCTGCAAGATTTGGACACATACTTAGCGGAAAAAGAGTGGCTCATTGGTAACTCTGTGAGTACCTTTTACATCATAAAAAAACGCAAGCACACACACACCCAACCAAAAACTTACAAAGAGTCACTGAGAAAAAAAAAAGTTACCCATCGGGAGAGAGTAGGTTAGAGCGCAGGGATAAAAGCTAAACTTCTCTGAATAAATTTTTTTAGTGGACTTAACTTTGAAAGCATCCACTAAAATATTTTTTTTTAATTTTTTTTTCAACCTTTTTTATTTATTTTTGGGACAGAGAGAGACAGAGCATGAATGGGGGAGGGGCAGAGAGAGAGGGAGACACAGAATCAGAAACAGGCTCCAGGCTCTGAGCCATCAGCCCAGAGCCCAACACGGGGCTCGAACTCACGGACCGCGAGATTGTGACCTGGCTGAAGTCGGACGCTTAACCGACTGCGCCACCCAGGCGCCCCTCCACTAAAATATTTTATATAATTATATAAAAACAACAAAAATATTTTAAAAAGCTAACATTGCAAAGTAAAAGCAAAGTGAAACAAATAAACCTGTGTCAAATTGATGCATGAAGTGTGTAAAGTACCTAAGTACTTTATTAGTGAGGTAGAACTGTTTTAAGAAATATCACAATAAAACACAGTAATTTGACTATACATCTTATTATAAATATTCTCTCAGGACAAAAAATAGAAATTGTACACCGTTGTTAGTAGGGGCATACCTCGGAGATATTGTGGGATTGGTTCCGGACCACTGCAACAATGCGAATATCACAGCAAATGAATTTTTGGTTTCCCTGTATACAGTTATGTTTACACTATACTGTAATCTGCTAAGCATGCAATGGTATTGTCTAAAACAAAACAAAACAAAACAAAACAATATACATATCTTAATTAAAAAATACTTTGTTGCAGGGCGCCTGGGTGGCTCAGTCCGTTAAACACCGGACTTCAGCTCAGGTCATGATCACATAGTTTGTGGGTTCGAGCTCTGTGTCGGGCTCTGTGCTGACAGCTCAGAGCCTGGAGCCCGCTTCAGATTCTGTCTCCGTCTCTCTCTGGCCCTCCTCCACTCACACTCTCTCTCTCTCAAAAATGAATAAACATTAAAAAATTTAAAAAAAATATGTTGTTGCTAAAAAAAACGTTAACCATCATCTGAGCTTTCAGCACCTTTTAATCACTGATCACAGACACCATAATAATGAAAAAGCTTGCAGTGTTGCAGGAGTTACCAAAATGTGACACAAAGTGAGCAAATGCTCTTGGAAAAATAGTACAAAATAGATTTCCTCAACACAGGTTTGCCACAAACCTTTGTAAAAAACACAGTTTATGTGGGGCTCCTAGGTCTCAGTCGGTTAAGCGTCCAACTCTTGATTTTGGCTCAGGTCATGATCTCACAGTTCATGAATTTGAGCCCCATACTGGGCTCTGCACTGACAGTGTGGAGCCTGCTTGGGATTCTCCCTCTGCCCCTCCCCCACTCACACAAATACACACACACACACACACACACACACACACCCCTCTCTCTGTCTCTTAAACAATAAAAAAAACCCTCAGTATCTGCAACATGCAATAAAGCAAAGTACAGTAAAGTGAGTGTTCTTGTAATTATATTGTTGGTGGTACTGGCTTTAGTCATATTGTTTTCTTCTAATATTAGTATATCATATTTTGGGGTTAAGCAATACAAAAATATGTGGATGTCACTGAGAACCAGGACCTTCAGTGTGGGAGAAAGAAGATAGAGATGTCAGATGCATGAAGCTGAGTAAACATCTTATTCCTGAAAGTGAACTATATCTGAAGTCATGATGAACTTTATCTCAGGGTAAAGAAAAAAGCATGTTGTATCCCTTTTTCTGGACACAATGACCAATCCAATTGTCCTGGGCACCTGCAGGACCCAGATTTGGGGTCTAAGTATTAAAGGATTTAATATTAAATATTAAAAGGAATGAGGGGTTCTTGGAGAAATAGCTCATTCTCAATTCGGGCAGGGAAACGTAAGAGACGAGCTGGGAATACCTCATCACACCGGAAGCAAATGAATTATCAAAGACAACTGGGGTTGTGTCACAAGGACTCAAAAGTTAACTTGAAGAGGCTTCCAGTGGCCAAAGATGGGACAATTCAAGCTTCACGAAGAATATTACTGGCAGTGGATTGAAACAAATCAAAATGAAGACATGATGTGAAGACACCACAAGCAAACACAAACATGTACACGTAAACCCCCAAACCAAATAGAGCTTCATTGGTTACTTTTAGATGATACGGAGTCAAATTATTGTTCTGAAAACGGTCTTTAAAAGGTTGGGGGGTTTGAATAAAGAATTTACCTTGCCTTTCCTATGCCAATTGCACCTCAAGATAACAAAAGTCGATGGGCCAAGTTTGTCTTCACCAAAGTATTCCAGTTAGTAAATAAAAAGGGGGATTAAAACAAACTGTTACCGTTTTCCAACCCCTGATAATTGGAACGGACCTAGGCATTGACTAATAATAATTGTTACTGTCACAAAAAGTGAGACAACCAGATATTACAGCCCTACTACTGACAGAGGAGCGCGGTGGCACCTATAAAGTACTATGGACAAAAACTCAGATCTAAATACGATTCAGGTACTGGGGTAGGTTGGGGTCCTTCAAGGAGACTACATTCTAGGAGACAAGACACAGATTGCTTTTCGCAGCACTCTGGTGACTTAGTCTGGTCACAGTGTGTTGAATCCTTCTGGGTGACACAGAAGCAAGCTTGTCGCATCTTTATTCTCAACTTGCAACTCACCACATGCCCCTTCATTTCCTCCCATGGACTCCCCAGTAGACTTTCCTATAATGTTCCTCTCCCTGCCCTATTGAATGAACACTTTCTAAAGACTTAAAATGTACTCCCCTTGTTTTCTCTTAAAACTCTTCAGTAAACTACCTCCTGACCCCATCTCTTAGCACTCTCTCCCTTCCTCACAGTGTTCCACACACACTCGTGTTTTGTTTGTTCCTCAGACACGAATCTCACTTCCACCTAAGAGCCTTTACACTTGCTGGCCCCTCGGCCTAGAATGCTTCATTTCCAGCATGTTTCCTGTCTGGGTCCTATCCTCATGTAAGCCTGGCTTAAATGTCACCTGCTAAAGGTCTTCCCTCCATGACCACCTGAAAGTCGTTCACTTTTTCTTCACTGTCCCTATCAGTTACCTGTTTGTCTTCCTGCTTCTTAAATAAAAGCTACATCCGGGAAAGGGCTTGCAGCACATTTTGCTTTCCAACCCATCACAGCACCTAAACCCGCACACCACACACAATAGGTACTCCATAAATATTTGTTGCCTGAACTCTGAATCCTCTAACCCATAAAACTCTCCTGGCTGACAGGGTTTTAGTGTCCATGTTCATAAAACACTAGAATTAGCATTATTAAATTCCATACAAAAAGAAAACTAAGGATAGTCCACATTTAAACTTCACTTTTTGACATTCATCTGGAGCGAAAGTAATGTCAGCCGGATTAATTTCTAGTCACAAAGGGGCAGGGCGGGGGAAGTGTACAAAGAAAAAGTGTACAAGGGTAGGACCAGGCTGCCATCACTCTAAGGGTTCCACTAATGCTCAGGTACCCATTATGTCTTTTGATGTGATGCAATATAATGTGTTAGTGAAAAATATTTAACTTGCAACTATGAACTCTCTAGGGATAACGTGCACTCTATCCCTTCATACTCTGCAGAATAAAGGAACAAGGTCAACAACAGGACAAAATAATTACACAAATCCTGAAGATAGCACATTATTCAGGACTAGTGTGAACTCTTCAGTAAAAGGGAGTTAAGTGGCATAACCAGATGAAACGCATCTCCTGAAATGGGTCTGCTGTGTCCTGTAAGGGACGTTTTTGAAAGAGATGAAAAGTATTGATTGGGTATAAGATAACGATGTATTGTCACAGAGAGGTTGAGAGTGAATCAAGTTACAAGAATATGTACTGTAAAATCTCCTTCTGTGTTTTTCATAAAGTTTTTATTTCTTTTGAGAGATAAAGAGGGCGTGAACAGGGAGGCGCAGAGAGAGGGAGCAAGAACCATAGCAGGCTCTGCACTGTCAGCCCAGAGCCTGACAAGGAGCTAGAACTCAACAACTGTGAGATCATGGCCTGAGCTGAAACCAAGAATCGGACTCTTAACCCCATGGAGCCATGTAGGTGCCCCTGTAAGATCTCATTTTAGAAGGAGCACGCACACACAAATATCTTATACCCAGAGGTGTTAATATTAGCAACCTCTAGGTATTGGGAGTATAGTGTTATCTGTTATTTTCTATCATATACTCATTCCACTTTCATAGTAAAAGAGAACTTTAAATTAAAAAGAAACTTTTTGTTGTTGTTTATTTTTGATAGAGAAAGAGCAGAGAAGCAGGGAAAGGGCAGAGAGAGAGAGCGAGACAGAACCTGAAGTGGGCTCTGTGCTGACAGCAGAGAGCCTGATGCGGGACTCAAACTCATGAACCATGAGATCATGACCTGAGTTGAAGTCAGACACTTTAATTGACTGAGCCACCCAGGTGCCCCCAAAAGAAACTATTTTTGATTTAAGAAGCCATGCCTTTTATGTTCAAATGGCAATTTTTGTTTCAACTAGGTAACTTGGGCAGATTTCTACTGGGAAATTTGCAGCACCACACTTTTGGTCTTTAAACCTGACTTGCTGGATAACCATCCTAGATTGGTAACATTAAGGAAGAAAGTTCAAGCCATTCCTGCCATCGCTGACTGGATACAACGAAGGCCCCAAACCAAACTCTAGGTGACGTGTGCTACCTCCAAGCTTTACTGTTCTTCACAGCATCGCTTCCATCAGATAAGCTACAGCAGCCATGTAACCCACACACTCCCTTCCCCAGCTCCATCAAGACTTTCACTCTTTCCATATTCTGCTTAAGCAAATAAACAAGGAAAAAAGAGCAGCCGTGGGGGGGGTGGGGGGGTGGTGAGAGCATTTAGTTTCCAGTATCCATTTTTTTTTTCTTTTCCCCAGAATAACTTCACATCATTTACAACTGAGAAAGAAGAGTTTACAATCCAGGCAGGGCTCATTTTGCATCAGTTTCAACAAGCATTGGATTTCAGTCACAATGGTTAAGTAACACATTTCCCAAACAAATGGGTTGGACTTCTGCTGTAATTGCATAAGGTATTAAGTTTGCTGCTAACTCTTCAGTCCACAAATCACTATGTAGGTAACAGATACGTCTCATGAGTAACCACCTGTCATATCACTGCTCTCAAAGTCTGTTAGTGACTGGTCACTGCACATCTGTTATTCATGTACAGACAGCAAAGGGTGTAGTTGCATTGCCTGCTTGTTTCTCAGTGATAAACTCACTCAAAAGTTTTTAAAAAGTGGATAATTTATAAAGGGAGCTCAGCAACAAAGATGAAGTACAGTAAAGAAAGGAAAAGTGACAATGCTGGAGCCAAATTCAAATTGCACATAAATGGAAAGAGTGGTTACAAAACGGACAATAGAACTGAATGGGCGCCTCTTGGGTGACATATACATGGTAAATAAGTATATGAAAAGATGCTCAACATCATGTCACCAGGGAAAGGCAAATGAAAACATGGAGATATCACTACCTACCTGTTAGAATGGCAAAAATTCAAAACACTGACAACACCAAACGCTGGCGAGGATGTAAAGCAAAACGAACTTTTATTCACTGCTGACAGGAATGCGAGATGGTAAAGACAACTTAGAATTTGAGTTTCTTACAAAACTAAACTTATTCTTACCATATGATACAGCGATTACACTTTTTGGTACTTTCCCAAAGGCGTTGAGAACTTAGGTGCATGCAAAAACCTGCTCATGGATGTTTGTGGCAGCTTTATTGGTAACTGCCAAAACTTGGACGCAACCAAAATGCCCTTTGATAGTGAGTTGGATAAGTGAACCATGGCACAACCAAACAAGGGATTATTCAGCACTAAAAAAGAAGTGAGCTATCAAGCCATGAAAAGACACGGAGGAAATCGAAGTGCAGATTACTAAGTGAAGAAGCCAATGTGAAAAGGCTACTGTATGGGGGCACCTGGGTGGCTCAGTCGGTTAAGTGTCTGACTTCGGCTCGGGTCATGATCTCACCGTCGGTGAGTTCGAGCCCCGCGTCAGGCTCTGTGCTGACAGCTCAGAGCCTGGAGCCTGTTTTGGATTCTGTGTCTCCCTCTCTCTCTGACCCTCCCCCATTCATGCTCTGTCTCAAAAATAAATAAAACATTAAAAAAAATTTTTTTTAAATAAAAAAAAAAAAAAAAAAGAAAAGGCTACTGTATGATTCCAGCTATAGGACATTCTGATTCCAACTACAGGCAAAACTGTGGAGCCCGTGATGGTGCGGGGCTAAGGAGGAGGGAAGGTTGAAAAGATGGAATATAATTTTTAGACAGTAAAACTATTCTGTATACTATAATGAACTTGTTAAACTCACAGGATATACAAAACGAAGAGCAATCCCTAATGCAATAGACTTTGGGTGATTATCTTGTGTCCATGTAGGTTCACTGATTGTAACAAATGTACCACTCTGGAATGGGGGCGTTGATGAAAGTGGGGAGGGGGGAGGGAAGAAGAGATATATGGGAAATCTCTACTTACTGTTCAATTTTGCTGTGAACCTAAAGCTCACCTAGAAAATAAAGCCTAGGGGCGCCTGGGTGGCGCAGTCCGTTAAGCGTCCGACTTCAGCCAGGTCACGATCTCGCGGTCCGTGAGTTCGAGCCCCGCGTCGGGCTCTGGGCTGATGGCTCAGAGCCTGGAGCCTGTTTCCGATTCTGTGTCTCCCTCTCTCTGCCCCTCCCCCGTTCATGCTCTGTCTCTCTCTGTCCCAAAAATAAATAAACGTTGAAAAAAACATTAAAAAAAAAAAAAGAAAATAAAGCCTATTAAAAAAGAAAAAAAGAGTAGGCATAGTTTTCAGGACACTGAAAACGCAATAAAATTTTGGAAGGCGATACAAATTCAGAATTATAATTTGCCAAGGTATAAAAAGAATGCTCTCTTGTAATCATACAAGAAAGTATTATTACTATTCTTGATAACGTTTTTTACAAAAGTAACTTTATCAATGTTTCTTTTACTAAAATTAATTTTACTTTTTTCATTTACCTACACATTTATAACCAACAATGTTTTTAATGTGCTGAGAAAAAAGTTTTAAAGTCATAGAACAATGGTCTTCTCCAATGACTAAGATTATTTTGTACAATCTCAACTTGGCAGTCATTTTTATGGCCCCATGCTACCATGGAAAGCAAGAACCACCCATATAAACAAGTGATTTCTAAACAAGTTTTAGAAATCTTGCAAGGAAATATGGATTATCCCTCAGCCAATTTTAAACCATAATTATAGCACTGGAATATCATATTTCAGTCAATTTACATGTTAATATTATTAATATTGGCTTGTCTAATCTTAGCATTATGTTATATATAGAAACAGACCAATGAAATAGATGGCCTTATACTTGAAATGCAGGACAGGGGAAGGAGAACATGGTTGAAAAGCCAGAAATGAGGAGCGAGTTTAAGGGAATAAAAAGAAAAGGAATGTTCGGCCAAGTATGATCTTGTTTTAAGGTGCTTCTTTCGTCACAACAGTGTTCTATGAAATAGGAGAAAAGATGTTAAATGCTTTATACATTATTAAGAATTATACATAAAAACAAAGTGCATTTCCCAAATAACTTGCTTCTTTGAATCACTTTTTTTTTAAAAGCGTTATTTCTTTTGAGAGAGAGTGCCCATGGGAGGGGCAGAGAGGAAGAGAGGGAGAATCCTAAGCAGGCTCTGCATGGTCAGTGTGGAGCCTGACGCAGGGCTTGAACCCACAAACCATGAGATCATCCAAAATCAAGACTCAAGACACTCAACTGGCTGAGCCACCCAGGCACCCTGGGTCACATTTTCTTATCACTAGTGGCTGTTAATAAATAACAACATGTTGGTTTTAAGTGAATCTCATTGCAAAGTACTCTATCCTCTTATCAAGGCAATCTAAAGAAAAAAAATTATCTTTTGCAAAAGAATTTAAATTGATACTCTAGATAATGAAGGTAGTAACTTTTCTTCCCTCTTATGCATGTTCGTTTTCTGCCATAAAATTACATTCTGACAAGCCTTAATTAAAATAGAATTTAGGAAAAAGTGAGAAAAGTGAGAAATACAATGCTTACCTAAAATTATAATAATTCAAAATAAGATAATCAATTTGTTTACACAAATCATAATTCAACTATAAAATGCAACCACAGCAGGTCTCATAAGTAAATATTTCAATCATAGCATCATCATTAACCTTTAGGTCACCATTTTTCACTGAAGGACATTCCATTATCCCATCCTGTCCCCAAGTTAAATGGCTCCTAGGTGAGTGAGCAAGTATGAGAGAATATGAATGAATCAAAGTTGCATACTGTAATCAGACAAAAACACATTTTGGGAAGAAAAGAATCCTAAGAATCATTTCCTTAACTATGGACATTTAAGTGTCTGGCTCAGGGTCAAGTAAATGAAAACCAAATCTCCTGATACTCCAATCTAACCACCATACAGTAATACCAACAATCAGAAACAACAGTAATGTTGTGACAAAAATATCTCATGGTATAAAGTTACATGTCTCTGGGTCAGGAATACAGTTATGAACACACATAAGGTATATGTTTCCTACCTCTTTGTAAGTTGCATTAAAAAATTAAAGTTGTTTCGGTTGGTCAAGATAATATTCCAATAACTATGGCTTCACATGCCCTTTACTGATAATGGGTTATGATGTTCACTGACATCAGTCCAATGAACACACTGATGGGAATACATCCTAAGTAATAAATTTCAGTTTATTGAGAAACAGACAATATTAAGCACATATGATCTCATTTGTGCTCCATATTATATTTTTAAGGGTAAAGGGAGAGTTAGAAACTATTAAAAAGGGTGTGAAAATACAACTTATGTTCACGAATGCTTTTATTAAAGATATTATGGATTTAACAGCAAAAGAAACAGCCGATCACTGAAGACACATTAAAACAGAAAACTTATGAGAAATCCATTTTGAGAGATTTTTAAAAGGTAGTATTTCCAACAATAAGTGATTTGGGTCCTGCGATGTAGGAGGTAGTAATAATATTTGCAGATTCCTTCTAGCCCCATTATACTAAAATATACTGAATATATTCAATGTACCTTCAAGATTGGATAAACCTACTCAATCGTGAGTTTCAGAGTCTATAATATCTGAAGACTGCTTTGAGAGCTTCAATACTCTTCTAACTCCAGAGGACTATATTACCTTAGCATCTTAGCAAGTGAGGATGCCTCGAAAGTATAATCTCCAATAATTACCAAGTCTGTGATTTATAAATAAGTTTATTTATAATGATATTTACATAATAAAAACAAAACACATGAAACCCACAAGTTATACAAAGGAACTGATGTATAATAAAAACAGCAAGATAGACTGACAGGCAAAATTTTAAAGAAAGATTTAATAAAGAGTTAAATATCAAATAGACAACTTTACTTCTTCTAAATTTCACTTTGTCACCCACACTGAATTGGAATTGAACAATGGCTCTCTCTTCAGGAGGTCCTGTACTGGAAATTCTGGAAACTGATTAAGTTATATTTTGAGAAGTGTTTAACGTTAATGACCTATTTCCATGCAGTACCTATCGCTGCCTTAATATGAAGTCACGTTCAGTCTGCTTTGAAGTGAAATAGCCTGCTAATCTGTTCTGCCAGGCTAGACAAATGTTACCCACATTTTGCTGATATGTGGAGACGTGGCAGGAATAAACTACTATTTAGAGAGTAAAGAGAACTGGAGCAGAAGTGACTGGGCAACAGTTTCAAGAGAAGCAAAAGCCAGGAGAGGGAAATCAATGAAAACATGCACAAGAATAGGCAGAGTAATAAGCACAATTAGTGCAGTCGGGAAATGAACAGAAGGAATTAATCCAAGGAGCAAGATAAGGGCTTCTTCAGTTACTATTCACTGGAAAACAACTTAGTGCCTAGCCAAACAAATTTGTTTTAACAGAAGTACTTGGAAGGACCTGGGGGTGTTAGTATATGGAATGCCACCTTTAAATTCAGGTTGAGTTCTTGTTGACAGTGGTGAACATCTGCTTCAAATAGCAATAAAATGAAAGCTATATAATCTATACAGCTGCATCCTTTAAACTAACAAAAAAAGAACTTCAAAGGAGACAAGAAAAACAAGACATAAGCATTGTCAAATAAGGCACATGTAAAAATCTACACACATTATCCAGTGAAAGACAATATATATATATTTGGAGGTAGAAATAATTACAAAAATACTGACATTTCTAAAGCATTAGCATATTTGTTACAAACAATCACCAACTAATCCCCATTCAGAAAACTGTTTTGTAAAATGATTATTCAACATCTTCAGGACTACATTATTTGTGGCTTTTTGTTTGAAATTTCACATGTGAGCGTCTGGAGAATTTAGTTAGTGGCAAAAAAGTTGTCCATACTATGAGAAATGTAATATGGAAATTATAAAAAGTTATAAATGTTCATAAACCCCATGGTCATCATAATGTAAATGTCCTTGAGTGCACCAAGTTGATATTTCCTCATCAATTAGGAATTCACAATTCTTAACTTCACAGGCCCATTGACGTTTTTAGTAATGTGGCTATATCTGCTGGCATACTCCCTTCATCACCTGCAGGTCAGAAAGCAGCATTAAAAGTTTCATAAAAATATTTTATGAAATATATTTTCTCTGATTCTAACTTTGGTGAATGCCTAATTGTTTTTCAAGGCCCCGTTTGTCTCAGTGTCACTCCTTGTTTAAAAGCCTTCGCAAAGCCCTATGTGTATTTAAGGCTACTTCCTCTGTGCTAACGTTCATGCCAGCACAGCCATCTATAGGCTAGGCTCTGATTTCACATAAGTAATATCTAAAGATACACAGGTATTGATCTGGATGACATTCTATTCATACAGTACGCAGTATTTTCTCCTCAGGTTA